CCTCCCTCCCTCCCTCCCTCCCTCCCTCCCTCCCTTCCTTCTTTCCACAGCATCTCACTGTGTGTACCAGGCTATTCTTAAATTTATAATTTTCCTAACCCCTAACCTTGACCTCCCATGTGCACTAAACCAAGCCTGTTTGGGGTTTTGGTTTTGAGTAAAACCAGCTTGGAACTCTTGATCTTCCTGCCTCAGCCATGAACATCCTTGTTTATGCTAAGCTGTTTATTGATAGCCTCCCAACTACACACTGAACTCTAAGAGCAACATCCAGATGAGTCTTGATCATTACACATGTATTTGAGATATCTAGTCAATGACTACTTCTCTAACTGTGCTGTTTTCACTGTTTGAGTTTTCAATGTTCTATCTTAAGAGACTTGTGAATCCAAATTCTTTGTAATTTCTGTAATTCTAACACTGTATCATCAATGCATGTGATATACACACTTTATGAATGGCCCCCAAGTCACTAATAAGGTTAAAAATGGTAACTTGTCAATGACCTAAGAAGACATACACACCTCTGCCACGCCCACATATCAGTATATTGAACCAGCAGGCTTCATTGAAGAGTCAAAAGCCAACATTGCCTAGCTTTCACTTTCAATCTTAGGAGGGATATGCAGGAACTTCTACCTCTATGAAGCCTTTCCTTACCTGGCACCACGTCACCTCAAGCAGAACTGAATTATTCATCTAACTTTCTTACAATTGTACCTTCCCTCACTTCACTGCACCATATCATAGTAATTTGTTAACAATTCTGTCTCTGTAACAAGGCCAAGCTCTCTTAGAGATTAGAGATACTTTAATTAAGTTCCTTAAAGCCTAGAACAATCATCAAAATTTTGTTAGCACTAAAAAATCCAAACATGCCTTGCAATTCAGATACAACAGTTCCTATTTTCACAGTCAGTGTTACCACGTGAAATCTAAAGACGCTTTAAACACACTTACCTGTAGCAAAAAGGAAGCTGCATAGCTCAACAGGGCAGGATGGTGGACTAAATTTAAGTTGTTTTTATACTCAGTTTCTCCAGTGTTTTCTAAGGTTTGGGGATCAATGTACACTCCTTTTTCAAATGGTTTGGACATCCATAAGCAATGAACCATAACTGTCAAATAGTAATTAAATTCTTGACAGATCTTGCTGCTGAGATTGAACTCTGATTTTGCCTAATGGGAAAGAAATAAAATAGTCATTAACATCTATTATTCCTTTCCCTTTTATTCTTAACAGGTCCCATATATCTATACTCGGTTATTTATAAAAATGGTGATTTAACACAGACTTGGCCTTCATACCTTCTTTAAAAAGTTGTTTTTCTTTGCAGCTGTCAAATTATTGCGATACCTAATAATAAAAGCAAACATAATAAAGTATTTAAAATGTCACTGGATGTAATGCTTCTGAAAGTAAAATAAAAATTTTAAAATAGACGTTTTAGGGCTGGAGAGATGGTTCCACTGGTAAAATACCTGGCACAGAAGCACAAGTCCCTGACAGTGCATCTAACACTTCCGGAAAAACCAGGTTTGTTTGCGTGTGTCCCTGACCCTAGGCTATGGGGCTTGGGAAGAATAAACAGACACAGGCAGGTCTCTGGAGCTCTCCAGCTAGCCACTGTAGGCAGTAAGTGAGCGCTTGGTTCGGTCAGAAAACTTGTCTCAAAAAATAAAGAGCAAAGCAATAGTGGAAGACACCTGACATTGACCTCTGACCTCCACATCAATATTCATGAAAGTATACACACACACAATCATGCATACATACACAAGTCCAATTTAAAGTTAATAAATGCAAATGTGTGCAAATACAAATATCTAGTTATCTAGTTAAGGATTTTATACTTTTATGGTACATTTTCCAGAAAGATTTTTTAAAGTTAGGGTTTACAGGTAGAGTTCAGTATTAGACTTCTTGTGTAGCATGCATGAGGCCTTGAATTCAATACTGAGTGCTACAAAAAATAAATAGATAAAAATAAAATCAATAGTTGGAGGATGACAAGATATCTCAGTGGGCAAAGTGCTTGCCATGAAGTCTGACCACCTGAGTTTGATCCCCAGACCCACATATGAGTATAAGGAAAGAACTGACTATAGAAAGTAGTCTCTGACCTCCACATACACACTGTGTACATGCACACACACACACACACACACACACTATTGACCAATTTTTAAAGACTGAATCAGAAATTTCAGATGTGTTCTTACTGTAAACATAGCTCAACAGAAAAAAAACAAACAATGAAAGTCATTCTTTTAGTGTTCCATTATTAAAGAAAGCAGTCGATCACTGATACAGAACACATTTTCTTTATGTAAAACAAGGGACAGCAGGCCAGTGAGACAACTGAGCAGGCAAAGACTCTTGATATCAAGCCTGATGACCTGACCTTGATGCCTGGATCCCACATGGTAGGAGGAGAGAAATGACTCAGGAGCTGTCCTGTGACTCCACATGTATTGTTTTACACACACACACACACACACACACACACACACACACACACACACACACCCCACAACCACTAACAACAACAAAAAGTAAATGTAAAAATGCTAAAAGGTACAAAAGAACAATGAAATCCAGAAATGTAATTTGTTTCTTATCTGAGAACTATCATCTAACTCATTTTTACATATTTTTACATTGACAAAGCTCTACAAATTATGCTGAAAAGGTCTATACTTATGAATTAAAAATAATCTCAGCCCACAAGTAAAAGAACAGAGCTAGAAATAACACTTAGAGGGTCACATAAATGGCAATAAATAGTTCCTATTGCCTCCCAGAAAATGTCTCTCTTACCAGAGAAACTACATACACTTCAACAGATATCAAAAAAATGATTAATTTTTCTTTAACACATAGAAATTTTAATTAACAAAGCTGAGTGCAACAGTGCCATTATGTAACAAACCAATCCGAAGCAAAGACTTTTAATTCCATATGCCCTACAGGGGGGATTTAAAAATAGCACAGCTCCAGTTTTAGTGTTCTAAGGTACCTCCATAATGCAGCCTGAAATCACTTTGAAAGCAAAATATGCCAGACTCAGAAAGATAAATACCATGTTTTCTCTCATTTGTGGATCCAATATTTTATATAGACAGAAAACATCATTTATATATACACACGATATGAAAGCAGAAGCAAGTCTGGAGAAAGGAAGTGGACTAGCAGGATAGGGAAAAGGAGCAAATACAGCCAAAGAACATGATACACTGCAATGAACATGTCTTTAGAAACACCAGCACTATGTGCAATAAGGATACTATAATAAAATTTTTATATCATAACCTGGGCAGTGGTGGCGCACATCTTTAATCCCAGCACTTGGGAGGCACAGGCAGGCGGATCTCTGTGAGCTCAGGCCAGCCTGGTCTACAGAGTGAGTCCCAGGACATTCAAGGCTATACAGAGAAACCCTGTCTCAAAAAAAGAAAAGAATTAAATAATAAAAATAATAACATAGCTATTAGAGCTTCATATTAGAAGGTCATATACCCCAAAGCCATGTTTCCTATTTCCATAGACCCTAGCAGAAAATTGATAGGAATTTTAATTTTATTATAGTTAAATGGTGAAGACAGAATTATGATATAGTAATTCATAAAATGAATAAAGGGAGAGGAGGGCTTGTACCTGTATATAATGTAACAAAGTTGGTTCAAGATACTGGCATCCAGGCTTAGGAGTGCAGAATGGAAGATCATAGGAGGAAACAGCACCACTAATGGAAGGTCATAATTTATATATATGTCACACACCTTTTGGAAAGAATGTTAATATCAATATAGAGGTTATCTTCCATAAATCAATGAAGTTTACTCAAAGAATCATCAATGTAAGAGAAGCAATAATATATCATTACATTTGAACCTGTATAATTTCTAAATAAAAAGGATAGCTATAAGTCTGTTTAAAATACAACTCATCAAACATCAACCTTAACTCAGAAAACTATTTCTATAAGACCATTATTAAAATATTTCATTTAGGTAGGCCAGGTGGTGTATGCCTTTAATCTCAGCACTCAGGAGGCAGAGGCAGGTAATTCTGACTTCAAGTCCAGCCAAGGATACACAGTGAGATCCTGTCTCATAATAATTAATTATTAATAAATATTATTAATTAATAATACAACATATTATTATTTGGGGGCTGGGAAATGGCTCAGTAGTTAAGAGCATTGTCTGCTCTTCCAGAAGACCCACACCCACATGGTGGCTCACAACCATCTCTAACTTCAGTTCCAAGGGATCCAATGTCCTCTACTGGCCTCTGTGGCACCAAATATGCATGTGGTGCACAGACATACATGCAGGTAAAGCACCCATACAAATAAAAATAAAAATAAAAATAAATAAATCTTTAAATTTTTTTCACTTCATCTTAGAACTGGAAAAACATGTTACAGTAAAGGAACATTTCTTTCTAAGTCTCCCAAATATTTATCAGTTAACTGGCAACATGGACAACAAATGAGCACGTTCTTTTAAATACGTAACATAGGCTGGCGATAAGTGCCAGTAGGCACAATGTTTGTCTAGCACAAACAAGGCCCTAGTTTCAATCCCCGGCACCACATCAACTAGGAGTAGTGATACAGCCTTTACTCCCAGAACTCCAGGAGAGGATGAGGGGATCTTCAGTGTGCCGGCTAGTTTTATGTCAACCTGATATAAGCTAGAGTCATTTGGGAATAGGAAAGGAACCGCAATTGAGAAAAGGCCCCACCAGACTGGACTACAGACAACCCTGTGGTGCATGTTCTTGATTGATGATTGATGTGGAAGGGCCCAGCTCACTGTGGATGGTGCCACCTCCAGGCTGGTGCTCCTGAATGCCATGTTTATGGCATTTTTTAAAGCAGGCTGAGCAAGTCATGAGGAGCAAGGCAGTAAGCAGTGATCCTCCATGGCCTCTGCATATTAGCTCCTGCCTCCAGGTTCCTGCCCTCAATTCCCTTCGTGATGGACTGTGACTAGAAAATGTAAACTGAAATAAACCAATTGCTCCCCAAGTTGGTTTGGTCATGGTGTTTTATCAAAGCAACAGAAACCCTAACTAAGACACCTGGCTACACATCAAATTTGTGGCCACCCTGGACTACAAGAGACCTACCTCAAAACCAACCAACAAATAAACAAAAAACAAACTAGGTATTAGTGAATGAAGAGAGAAAACTGGGGAAAGGACGATGATAATGGGTCCTTTGTGGTGGTGACAGTATTAGCCATGTTAAATCCTATAAAACAGTAAAAGGACTAGAATTAAAAGGTACTAACTAGGGACCAGGAAAAAATTAAGTACTTGAAAAGCCCAGAATAGAAATCTGAAAAAGCAATATAGCATTTTCTTTTGTTCTGCCAGGGGATGGGGATAAACAATAGATGAACAACAACAAAATGATGCTAGATAGAGACTACTGCCTAGGACCAGCCTTTTAATAGGTCAATATATTATAAAACAGTATCTGAACTAAAAACCAACCAGATTTTATTTTACAATTGTTTTACGAAAGTCAGTTACTCAAATGAAACTACATTTGTTTGATTAAAGTCAGTTACTCAGGTGAAAATAAACCATTAATTTCAAAACATGGTTATTCTAGCTACGTAGTAAGACCATAACTTACCTTCATGATTATACCTGAAATTTAAATCACAGGCCAATAAAGTGACTACCTATCATAAACTTGCGATTTGTATACTACCTTCTCATAGAAGTCTAAAATAAAGTGCAACAACAAAGTACTGTTGCTCTCCAAGCGCACTGCAACCATGGACAGCCAGCCTACGTAGTCAATCAACTGAGCCACAGAGTCCATGGATCCACCCAAAGTTGTCTCTCTGTAACAAGAAATTGCAACACTCAGATATACACCAGCAAATTGCTCAGTTTCCAAGCTAAAGGCAGGCAATATAAAGCAATAAATGGATAGGGAATTAAAAAACTATCAGTTCTCCAATGTACAATTTACTTTCTTTTAAAAATAAAAGCACAGTGATTAACCATTGTATTGTGGTTAATCCACCAACCTAGATGTCCCTCAACTGAAGAATGGATCAAGAAAATGTGGTGCATTTACACAATGGAGTATCACTCAGTTGTTAAAAACAATGACATGATGAAATTTTCAGGCAAATGGATGGAACTAGAAAGATCATCCTGAGTGAGGTAACGCAGACTCAGAAGGACAAACATGGTATATCCTCACTCATAAGTGGATATTAGAGGTTAAGTAAAGGACAATCAAGCTACAATCCACAGACCCAGAGAGGGCTCAAGGGGGCACACATGGATCTCCCGGAGAAGGGGAAATAGAAGAGATTTTGAGGGTGGACTTGGGGTGGGTGGGGATGGGAACAGGAGGAAGGAGGGAGAAAGTACTGGAAGAGACAACTGGAACTGGGGGCATTCGCGGGAGATGTAGAAACCTAGTGCAGTGGAAACACCCTGGAATCTAGGACAGTGACCCTAGATTGTGAAGGTTAGTAACTGGGGATGTGGAGCCCAAACTGGCCATCTGCTATAACCAGGCAATACACCTCACAGTGGGACTAGGACACCAACCCAGCCACAAAACCTTCAACCTACGATCTGTCCTGCCTCCAAGATGTGCTAGGGCAGTGGTGGCACAGAGCTTGTGGGAGTGGCCAGCCCAGGACTGGTCCAACTTGAGGCCCATGCCACAAGAGGAAGCCAATGCCTGACACTGCCTGGATGGCCAGGAACCAGAGGCCAGACAGCCTAGAGACCCAGGATAGAACCAAACATGATTGCAAAAAAAAGTTAATGAAATTATTCCTAATGGTATTCTGCTATACTTATGGATCGGTACCTAGCCCAATTGTTATCAGAGGGGTTTTATCCAGCAACCGACGGGAGCAGATACAGAGACCCACAGCCAAACACTAGGTGGGGACAGGGGAACCCCACAGAAGAAGATTACAGGAGCCAGAGGGGACTAGGACATCATGAGAACACGGCCCACAGGATCAACCAAGCCAAGCTCATAGGGGATCATAGAGACTGAAACAACAAACAGATCCTGTATGGGTCTGAGCTAGGTCCTCTGCATATACCTTATGGTTGTTCTTGTGGGACTCCCAACAATGGGAGTAGGAGGTGTCTCTGACTCTTTTGCCTATGCTTCGGACTCTTCCTCCTACTGGGTTGCCACATCCAGCCATGCTATGAGGGTTTGTGCCCAGTCTTATTGTATCTTGTATGTTCAGTCACTATCCCAAGGAGACCTGCTCTTTTTTTTGAAGGGAAACAGAGAAGGAGCTGATCTAGGGGAAAGAGGACGTGGTGGGAGGGACAGGTAGGAGCAGAGGGAGGGAAGACTGCAGTCAAGATGTAATGGATGAAAGAAGAATAAAAGCTAAAAATAAATTTAAAATACAGTGATTACTCTTGGTCTTTTAAAAAAATTGAGACAGGGCTTCACTATGCAGCCCTGGCTATCCTGGAACTCACTACTACAGACCAGGCTGGCCTTGAATTCAGAGATCCGCCTGCCTTTGCCTCCCAAGTCCTGGTATTAAAGGCGTGTGCCACCAATGCCCAGCACTCTTGTATTCTAAGGAACCATTTTAAGATAAACTCATAAATAGCCAGGCATGGTAGTGCACATCTTTAATGCCAGCACTTGGGAGGCAGAGGCAGGCAGGTTTCTATGAGTTTGAGGCCAGCATGTTCTACAAAGTGAGTTCCAGGACAGCCAGGGCTGTTACAGAGAAACCCTGTCACCAAAACACCATAAAAACAAAACAAAACAAAAAAGATAACTCATAGAACATTTTCAGCAACCAGATTTGAGAAGAAAAGAAACAGATTAAATTTCAAACAAATTCTGGATAATGTTACAATACTGAAAAACAATTAGAGTCAATATATTTGTCTCTAGTAAATGATTAGTACTGAATTCTAACACTCCTCAATTATGGAAATCCCTTAGTGAAAAATAAACAAAAATCACTAATAATGGGTACTCATTAACTCAGAGAAAAGGAGTTCATGACAAAGTGACACCAAACATTTAGAAAAATTAAAAATGAACAAAATAATAAGTAGGAAATTGATGCTATTTATCCCACATAGCACAAATGGTTCAAAAGTATAAACATTCAAATGACAGTAGGAATCATTTCCTACGCACCAGTAACATGACAGCACACTGAATGAATGTTTCATTCAATGAATGAAACCCATTGTACAGTATTCAATATCCACTTCTGCCTACTCCTCAGTAAATATTTCTCCAGAATTCAATCTAATCCTAAAACTGAATAAGCAGAATGTTAGCATAGTTCAATCTTCTAGTTAAAGCCATATCTGGGGGTTGGAGAGATTGCCCAAAAGTTAAGACCAGCTGTTGCTTTTACAGAGGACCCTGAGTTTAGTTCTCAGCAGCAGCAACATGGTAGCTCACAACTGTCTGTAACTCCAGTTCTAGAGGATCTGATGCCCTCTTCTGGTCACCATGTTCTACACAGACATAAATGCAAGTAAAACACCTATACACATATAAAATCACTTCTGGATTTATTGTCTTCTCTCCTAAATCAATAAATATAATCTCTTTAAATGATACAATATATAAAATGAGTAGTTCAATCTATCCATTTCTCATATGTATCTTTCAATCCATACTCAAAAAGATTTAGAAAAGATCTACAAATGTGAACGCACAGTTTGACCCTCCTATCTAGGTAGGTAGTTGAGAGCGGTTCTGCACTGAAAAAAGGATAATGTACAATAATGTACAGTCTGTGATAGCGCATAGTCTCAGAGTTTAGGAGATGACTCTCCCACTACTCACTACCATGATGGTTCAACGACAGAAGCAGGGAAATACTGAGACCATTTAACAAAGCATACAATAACCTCCTTACTTGTAAAACTGATATAGCCATACTTTTGCTTTTCAGGATTTCAAACATGTCACAAATAACTGCAAACAATGATGACTGCTCCCAGCAACCTTTTCTTTTTTAATGTGGTACTGGATATATAATCCAAGTCCTACTGCATGCTAGGCAAGTACCCTGCCACTGACCTACATTCTCAGCCCCAGAAGAGACTTCTTGGTGAGTGCTTCTTTATAAATCACTGGCATTCTAAATAAAACCATCCATGGTTCAGAACTGCCTCACATTCCTACCTCCACCCCCTGCAGTATGGTCAGCATTCTCAGGTGCCACCTGTCAAATGATAACAGCACCCATCTCTCTAGTCATTGCTACAGCCAGAAATGTCCCTGGAAAAAGATAGTGACATGGCCTTCTATCCTTCTCTTCTAAGGACCTATCACTACAACTTACTCTCTTCTGGTCACCTATATGACAAATGGTCATATAATAGAAATAAAACATACTAATTTTTCCAAAATGAATTAATGAAGACTTATGAGCTATACTGAACTTTTGTGTTTGTTTTATTAATTATCATATGTGTATGCATGCACAGGCATACAGGTCACAATGCACATGTGAGGTCGGAAGACAGCTCTTAGAAGTCTATTCTCTCCTGCTATCTTGTGGGATCTTGGATTTGAACTCAGGTTGCAAGGCCTACTATACTCAAGCACCTGCTAAGCCATCTCACTGGCACACGGGCAATATTATTTAATCCCAAATATTATGACAAGGCTATCTAGACATATGCCCATTTATCTGCTTAAATAGCACTGTTCCTTTTTAGATCGCCTCCCTAAATTTACGACAGAATATGAAAAATCTGGGCTAAGAATTTAGCTCAGTGGCAAAGCATTTGCTTAGCTTGTATGAGGCCTGAGTTTCATTCCCAGCATCACACAAAAGAAAAAGGAGAAGAAGGATTTGTGGAAAGACACTACAGAAACTGTAAGGTACTTATTTCAGGGGTGTATCTACTGCAAGTTAGTCAAAGGTTACATAAGTAAAAACACTGTTCTGGTAGTATTTCTTTATAATAGTGGTTCATAAACTAAAGTTTGCACTAGAATTGTGGAAATAGTAATACAAATTACTGGGTCACCTGTAGGGCTTAACTCAGTAGAACAAGAGCAGGGCCTAACAATTTTAATATCTGAGAAGTTCCCAAGTGGTATTGACACTAATCACACACTTTTTTAAAGAATCAGAGCTTCATAAGATTTCTTCACTAGCTGAGCATGGTGGTACACATTTTTAATCCCAGCACTCAGAAGGCAGAGGCAGGCAGACCTCTGTGAGTTTGAGGCCAGTCTCATCTACAAAGCATGTACCAGGCCAGCCAAGGCTATATACAGTAAGATGCTATCTTTAAAAAAAAAAGATGTCTTCACTACCCACTAATGCTCCATGTTCCATTTGTTTCTAAAAGTGGTCATAAGCATATAGAGAAACACTATAATAATGAATAGGAGGAGGGCTGGAGAGATGATGGCTCAGAGGTTAAGAGCACTGGCTGCTTTTTTAAAGGTTCTGAGTTCAATTCCCAGCAACCACATGGTGGCTCACTACCCTCTGTAATGAGAGCTGGTGCCCTCTTCTGGCCTGCAGGGATACATGCAGGCAGAACACTGCATACGTAATAAATAAATAAATCTAAAAAAAAATGAATAGGAGGAATTAAAAAACAAATTTCCAAGCTACCTACGTCTAACTCTCCATTCCCATACCCAAACTATAACTCACTCTAGGGATAAAACAGAAAACAAAGCTGAGCTAAATGTTCGGACATTAGTTCACTTTGCAATTAACTGCTATTTGTGAAAGTTAGGTATGCAGTTCAGTTGGTACACTGCTTCTCCGGTGTGAATAAACACTGGAATTGATTCCTAGCACCACACACACTGGATATAGTGATGTACACCTACAATCCTAGCACTTGGAAAGCACTTAAGGGAGATCAATAGTTAAAAGCCAGCCTCATCTACACAGTAAGTTTGAGGGCCACTTGGATACATGAGACCCTGTCTCCAAAAAATAAAATAAAATGAAAAGGATATATGTTGGGCTGGGTGGGGAGATGGCTAAGAAGGCAAAGCATTTGACATATAAACTTGACAACCTAAATTAAATCCTCAGAACCATGTAGAGTGGAAGGAGCAAATCAACTCCACAACATTGTCCTTTGACCCTTCCACACACTGTGGCATGCATGTGTACATATGGGCCTACATATATAAACACACAGATTAATAACAAATACTACAAAATTTTGTAAACTCTTAGCTTTAGGTTTCATAGCAGAACCATTTTAACAGCTGAGATGGCATCTGGGTTTCACTAAAGAATAATCTAAGGGCCAGGCAGTGGTGGCGCACACCTTTAATCCCAGCACTCGGGAGGCAGAGGGCAGGCGGATCTCTTTGAGTTCAAGGCCAATCTGGTCTACAAAGTGAGTTCCAGGACAGTCTCCAATTTTAGTATATGTGCTGCCAAAGTGAGCACCCACGACAGGCTCCAAAGCTACACAGAGAACCCATCTCAAAAAACCAAAACCAAAACTAAAAAAAAAAAAAGGAAAGTAATGTACTAGGGGTTGCTAACATTGTGCTGGTGCTGTGTGTGTGTGTGTGTGTGTGTATCTTTGGAATTTATTTATTTATTTATTTATTTCTAATTTTATAATTAATTTAATTTTACATATCAGCCACAGATTCCCCTGTCCTCCCTCCTTCCACCTCCCACCTCCGCCCTCCCCCCAATCCACCCCTCATTTATGCTAGGAATTTGTTTTTATTATCTATTTTTTAAAGTATTTATTCATTCCTTGGGAATTTCAGACAATGTATTTTGATCATATTCCCTAACTCCTCTCTTTAACTCCTACCTCCCTGTGCCCCCTCAACTTCATATCCTCTTTTTTTTTTTAATTTAATAAGCCATCAACTCCAATTTGTGCTGCCCAGATACTTCTGACAATAGGGTCATTTGCTGGGTCACAGTCAGCCTACCAGGAGCTACACTCTTAAAGAAATTAAATGTATCCCTGAAGCTGCACTGCCCTTAGCTCCTCAGGGTGGAGGCTCCATGCTAGCATACTGACTGGCTTGCTCCTGTGCAGGCAGCCACAGCCACTGTGAGTTCATGGATGCAGTGGTCCTGGCACGTCCAGAAGTCTCTGCTTCATTCTAGTCAACCTAGACCTAACTCTATTTAGAATCTCCCCACCCCTCTTCCATGATGGCCTCTTATAAAAAGTCTGTATTATAGAAAATTGTAAGCATAATCAAACTTTTTAAAGCACTAAAGAATCATGTGGCTGACAGGACATAAGAGAATCCAAACAGGCAGAAAGAATCAAAACAACCTGATTACGCAGTTCCTTGAAATTTGGTGTTTCACTTTGGGGGTAAAGCATACATTTAATGGAAATTCAAATTCATTTTTAACTCCAACGCCAAGATAAATTAATGCATGTAACCTAAATACATGTCATGAACAAAACCCATCATTAAAACTGGCTCAGTATATAAAATGCATTGTATAATGTGAATTAAAGTAAATGGAAGTCAAAGCTGCATTGTAATTTTGGCTTTCCAGCCTTTTTTACCATATTACCTAGTGCCAAATCATTCAAAAGGATTTGCTTTTTGGTTTACCTAAATAGTAACTTAGGAAATATACTTTTCTTTCAGGATTGTGGGAATAAAATGTGAGGAGTAACTAAAACATTTCCAGAAAAGTTCTATGAACTATTTACATGAAATAACTAAGTCTCCTGCCATCTTAGATTCCATATGCAAATATTTTCTATCGATCATCTCTGTGGAAGACCACAAAATAACTCACAGAGGACTGTTTGTCACCGGTTGCACGTGGGCATCCGTAGAAAGCCACAACAGCCAATTCTGCAGCAGTTCTTTCAGACTTTGAAGAACACTACACTGAGGGGGAAACAAAACAAAAGAAAATCATCAAAAGCAAACAGTATTTAGACCTAACAGAGGCTAGAAATGGAAGGGACCTTGGAGATGGCCATACCCCCACTTAGAACTCAAATAGTTGCTACTCCAATGAGTTCAGTCTACAAAGGACAGATGAATACAAGCACAAATTTATGTTATCATTTTTTCTAGAAGAAACATACCTCAACAAGACTTCCAGCTTAGCCCAGGAACAGAGTTTTCTCTAAATCACATTCCTTTATAACACATATTACATCATCAAATAAACCATCACCCTCGGCCATGCATGGTGGGACAAATCTATAATGCCAGCTTTAGGAGGTAGACTTAGGGAGATAAAGAGTTCAAAACCAGTGTTATCTACGTATCAATTTTGATGCCAGCCTGGCCTGCATGAGACTATCTCAGAAACAAAATCATCCTTATTGTCTGTCCCCTCAGAGATCATTTGAAGTTGCTACAAGTAAGACTTCTCTACCCTTTTACTTTTACCCTTTTGTGGTCTTTGAGTACAAGCTACTTCCTTCCTGATGGAAAAATGAGTCTTCTGTAACTCTGGAGAACAAACATTTCTAATCTTTATGTTCTCAGACGTTACCCTGCCTTCCCAGGGCCTCATTCACAATTCCTTAACTATCTTTACTCAGTCTCGTTTTGGGCCTGAAAGTTAAATACTGTTCTCTATTCTTTTTTTGTTTTTTTTGAGACAGGGTTTCTCTGTGTAGCTTTGGAGCCTTTCCTGGAACTCACTCTGTAGCTCAGGCTGGCCTCGAACTCAGAGATCCACCTGACTCTGCCTCCCAAGGGCTGGGATTAAAGGCGTGCGCCACCACTGCCCAGTCTGTTTTCTATTCTTGATGTATTTTCTGTTCCCTTTACTCCTTTCCTCCCTCCTTATCCCCATCCCCCACTCTCAAACATAAACAGATGTATGGACAAATGAATGTGTGCATGCCTAGTAGGTAAAATCATAAACAACTGCTAATTATCAACCACCCTTACCTACAAACGTGACAACTGCCTATGGTTCAACCAAACGTTCATAGCTAAGCAGCTTTTTAGACTGGTGGGATGAGTGAAGAAATTAAAAAGAACTCAACTAGAAGATTAGGAGAGAACTGCAAAAAAAAATTTTTTTAAATAGTCTCAAACTTTTTCAGCTAGGATAGCTAGGATTTTCATTTGAATGACAGTAGTTATAAAGTAGTAAGTTACAATATAAAATTAGCAAATTCAAGCTAATGTGACAGGCAATAAAGTGATATGCAACAAATACTAACCAGAACAACTTATTTCCTATAATGTGTCCAATAGTGAGTCATTTAAGGTGTAAAATGTCAGTAAAAGAAATAGCCTATCGTCGCTGCTTTCGAAGAGGAATGGACATTCGATAGGAAGGGGGTTCAAGGAGTTTTGTCACGACTGCTCTCTCACAGTGTGAACAAGAGTTAGAGCAGAGCGTCTGGCTCACGTCCCTAATCCTAGTGCCTAGAGAGCTCAGGCAAGAAGACAGATGCAGGTGGAAGGTCATCCTGAGTTCCAGGAAAACCTGGGCTACATGGTTAGACCACACGTGTCTCAACTTCACATCCCCACATCCCAGAAACCCTCCAAAAAGGGTAATTAGTATATTTATGAAATAAATAAGCATTATGTTCAAATGTCTGGCAATGCATTATGATAAAACTAGCCTTTCATTCTAGGAGACTGGAACTTTGGCTGAACCTCACAGCCTGAGTTAATAATACACCTTGAGGTCACTTAAAACTTAAAGACTGCTAGCCTACTGTATATCCGGCTTGTCTGTTTATTCTGCCTGTATGAAAACAATGTAACAATCAACCTTACTTGTCTTGGACTTCCCACCTCATCAGATTTTATAACCTAAGCTAGAGCATAACTGTAACCTTACGTTATGTACTTTTCCATGCCCCCCAACCCAGAACAGTGTATGTAGTTTTTAGTTTTGGTTTTTTGCTTTTTTGCTGAAAGCAGCAAATACAGAGATTGAAAGCCACCTTCTAAAATGAATATCCACCATAAATGTTGAACACAACACTTACAGATTAAACAATGATATTTGTAGTTCTGTTTATTTTCTGGATCAGTTGGAACCAGTGGCTTAATCCCTTGTTAAACTCTGTTAAAGATTTCAGGAAAGTATCAAATTCTTGCTCTTGGTTAAATGACTCCAAGGGGAAGGATTTTATTTCTTTAATGTGATACTGATGCAGTGTCAGTGGCTCGGAGTTAATAACAATGCATTCCATCCACACACAAAAGCATAAAGTTCAAAACTCCAAGTATGGTTGAGTATTTTCCCAGTTGGTTTGTTTTTACATTCATGTTAATATGCTTTTGACACGTTTTTCATGATCTTATGTGCTGCTTACTAGTGTAAAAAGTTCAGGAAAAATGTGTGACAAAGCTTTCAAACCAGAAAGTTCTATGCACTTGAACTTTATATTCCATAATACAGTACAGTTACAAAATCAATGCAGAGGCTAGGTGTGGTGAGACATACTGTACTGTCAACACTGGGAAACAAGGGCCAGGAGAAATGCTGCCCAGCCTTGTCTATATAACAAATTCCAGGCAGGCCTAGGCTACAATAACTAGCAAACCCTAATATCCAAAGAAAGGGGGTTCCAAGGAAGGGAGAGATGGAGAGAGGGAAGGAAGGAGGAAGGAAGGGAGGAAGGAAGGAAGTCACTGCTGGAGGACTAGAGGTGCATTTCAGTTGGTAGAATGCTTGCCTAGCATGCATGAAAGCCTGGGTTTGACCCCATCATCACAGAAACCGGACATGGAAGTACATGACTATAATCCCAGCACTCAGGAGGTAGGGCAGGAGGATCAGAAGTTCAAGGCCATCTACATCTACACAGAAAACTTATTGCATTGGACCCAGACTGGGCTACATGAGACTCTATCTCAAAAAAAAAAGAAAAAAGAAAAAAGAAAAAAGAAAAGAAAAGAAGAAAAAGGAAAGAAAGAAAAAGAGAAAAGAAAAGGAGGGCAGGTAAAATGACCCAATTGGTAAAGGAACTTGCTGCCCAGCCTGATGACCTCAGTTCTAGCCCCATGACCCATATGATGGGAGAAAACCACAAGATGACCTCCAAAATTCCATGTCATGGCACATGCATTGGGGTATACACACACACACACACACACACACACACACACACACACACACACACACAAAATGTTACAAAATTTCAAAAGAGAAGAAAGAAAATCACTGCTAGAATTCCAGTTTGGAATTATTTAACACCAGTTAATAGAAGTATGTTTTTTCCTCAGTATAAGATGCATTTAGTTTTTGTTTTTGGATTTTTACCTTGAAATAAATGGTTGATGTAAAGAAGAGAGGTGCTAGATGATCAAAAAGAAGTGGCTTCACCTCTAAAAAATAGAAAATAAGAGTTCAAAATTCTTTTAATTTATATTACATTGAATTAAATGAGTTCAAGTTGTGGTTTAAATGAGAATGTCCCCATAAGCTCAGGCGGTTTGAAAACCTGGACCCCAGTTGGGGGCACTATTCAAGTAGGTTTAGGAATCTCGGCCTTGCTGAAGGAAGTATGTCACTGGAGGTGGGCTTTAAGGTTTCAGAGCCTAGTACCTTCCCAGTCCACTCTCTGCTTCCTGCTTGTGGTTTAAGATTTCTGGTCTCACCTCCATGCCTTTGGTAAACTGTCATGGATTCTAACCTTCCAGAACCATAAGCCAAAATAAACTCTTGGTTGCCTTGGTAATGGTGTTTAATCACAGTAAAAGAAAAATAATAAGTTTTCATGGTACATACCAGAGAAGCTACTGAATGGAATCCAGGCCATAAGCTGAAGGAACTGTGACCGACAGGAGAAGCCATCCCAGAGAGGCAGGCTCTTAAACAGGAACACTTCAGAGGAGTAAAACCCCTCCTGAAACACAAGGTGATTGCAAAATCTCATATAGAATCATGAATATTCTTAGCCAGGTAGTGGCAGCACATGCCTTTAATCCCAATATTAAGGAGGCAGAGGCAGACAGATCTCTGAGTTTGAGGCCAGCCTGGTTCCAGGATAGCAGGGCTACACTGAGAAACCCTGTCTCAAAAACAAACAAACAAAAATATTTACTGAGTTCGAGACAAGGTTGGTCTACAAAGCAAGTTCTAGGACAGTCACGAATAAGCAAAATCAAACAAACAAACCAAACAACCATTTATTAGCCAGGCAGTGGTGGCACATGCCTTTAACCCCAGCACTCAGGGGGCAGAGGCAGGTGGGGTTCAAGGCCAGCCTGGTCTACAAAGAGAGTTCTAGGACAGCTAAGGACTACACAGAGAAACCGTGTCTCAAAATAAAAATCGCAAATACTCTTTAACAACCACTTTATTTCAGTTGCATGAGAGTATCTAGACAGTGCCAATACATGAGTTTCAGCTTCAACTGCAACTCTGAGATATCCAGGACAAATAATCCAAATGCTAAGATATATCTAACACTCCAAAACACTTGTAGCTATTAAAAACATAAGTCATGTGCTGGAGCTGGAGCTCAGTCAGAGTGCTTGCCTAATTCCAGAACCACCTAAACTGGATATGGTCACACACACCTCTAATCCCAGCATTCAAGGGGTAGAGGTAGGATGATCTAATTAGGAGTTCAGAGTCATTTTCAGCCAAATACTAAATTTAAGGCCAGCCTGGGCTAATGAGGCCCTGTTAAAGAATTAATTAATTAAAAAAGAACACAAGTCATGGGTTGAGGATGTGGATCAGTGATATATAAGTGCTCACCTAGTATGTATAAGGCTCTAGATTTGATTGCCAGCCCTTGCTCCAACCTCCCCAAAAAGGAACACAAGTAGTAACCCTATAAGATTTATATTCCTGGCTAATTCAATTAATTGAATGCATTAAATCATTTATTTTCTTTAAATTATAGAACTTACTACTCTGTTTAAAATTTTAAACTTATTCTTTCTTCAAACATAATAGTGCAAAAATAAACATCAGTGCCACTTGGCTCTATGAATTTCAAATTGTGCAATAGTATTTTTTGAAAAAGCCAAGAATAAGGGAAACAAATAAGTAAAAATAAAAATCAATGACATCAGGTACTAGGGGTACATCAGGTACTATGACTCAATTGGTAGACTGCTTGCCTAGTATGCATAAGGACTTTAGTTTGATTCCCCAATACTGCAAACAATCAGGTGTGGTGACACATGAAACCCTATCTCCCAAACCGAAAATGTCAGCTACTAAAGAAATACTACAATGGACATCCAGATAAATCTTAAGAATGACGACATCTATAGGAAACAAATGGAATCTTACTTGTAAGAAGCACTGCACCCTGATGACAATGTCCAGGACGTTTATAAATTCTTTTTCTTCTTCATAATTATTCATATTATACCACATACATTCTAGAGCAGAAATATTAAAATAAGCACCTGGTTATGCAATAATAAAACAATACAAAATATATCACTACTCTGAAGTGACAAAGAAATGACAGATTAAAGAAGTTATAAGATTCAAATATGCTGACTCAGTGACACTGCAGATTATAACAGGGATTTGGAAGTGACAGTCAGCAAACATGATAACATAGGGGAAAGCTTATAGTAAAAACACTGGAGACGTTCACTTACAATGAATGAGATCAGCTTCAAGTCACAGTAATCCAAGTGACTATAAATGCACAGCTGAATATAGGTAGGGTGAGTTGAGTATAAGCAACAAGTGGTGAGAACTTACGAAGTGAAAATCTAATTAATTGTATCACATATCCCATAAAGAAAGATTCTAAGTCAAAGGAGCAAGAGCCTATAATGACTAAAGCTGACTTCAAAGATGTGAATAGTCAGGTATTACATATCCAAGAAATAAGTAGTCTTGATAGCCAACAAAATTACTAGGGCAAAATGTCTCTGTGGATGAATGAAGTGGTCGGGCTTCACTATGGCCCGCATGGAGGACTCCCCACTGTCACTTCCTTTAATTCTACAATTAAGAAAATTTCTAATGACCAATGTGTCATTAGAGGAGGTAGACTACTTGGCACATGAGCATTTTGGTCACCAGGAAGAATCACTTCTATTATAAAATAATAAGTTGATATTCTGTCTTACAAATTGATTTTCTCTGAGTTGGCTTAATATTAATGATTCTTGCATGATCCCAGAAATACAAAGAACTCTGAGATTGAGACTAGCTATCTGAAAACTTTTGATAACCATTTGCCAGTGTTCACCTAACACCACTCCTTTTTGATTGTCTTAAAATGACAACACCACAAGTATTCACGTTCAAGATAGTTGGTTACCAGGTGATTATAGTATATGAAGGCTCCTCTGGTCCAAAATTTCTAATCCAGAATAAGAAATCTATTTACAAACGATCTTCTTCCACTCTCATTTATCCAGTGCTTTGCACCATCAATTCTTACCTTCTTGTAATGTTTGACTCAACCAGTAATAGAGCCTCAGTAAGATGGACTCATCTTTGACACAGTTAATATAGTGAAGCAGCAGCGAGTTGTTTAGCGCTGAGCTCATCTGAGAAGGCAGCTGTAAAGATGGAACAATCATCAACAGTAAGTACATGAAATGTAGGTCACAGCAATAAGTAAACATTGCATAGGAAACATACAACGAAACCAGAGGCTATGGGGCCTGAGATAAGGCTCAGTGGAGAGTATTTCGCTAGCATGTGTAAGCCTCAATCTCAAGTACTGAAAAAAAGAGGCTATCCAGATCAAACAGAAAATTCTAGTCAGTACCTGCTGCAGTCACATACCTCTAAGCAATGAATGTTCTGTAAAAGTTGAGGGAAACTCCGAAGCTCTTCTAGTGGAAGTGATCTATCGCTGCTGAGATAATCAGAAAGACTCATCTTCTTTTGCCCACATTCTTTGTTGGCAGAATTTAGTGCTGGAATAACTGAGTGAGAACTCCATTTCTAAAGGAGAAAGATAATACAATAATCTATCAGTGCACTAAAAAGACAATCTAAAAAAAAAATCAAAGCAAGTCAGATGTGGTGGTACACTCTTTTAATGGTACTCAGAGACACAGGCCAAGCCTAGTCAACATATCAAGTTTTGGGCCATCTGAGGCTACATTTTAGAAAAATACTCTCAAAAATAAATAAATAAATAAAGTTGTTAAGATGTTTCACTTAATGGGAGTCTGAATGTGGTTTGCATAGAATACAAGATTATCAAAGTCTATTTAAATACCTATAATCCCCACCATTTGAATGGTTACTATTTTTAAAGCCACAAGTCCTTTTGCTTTACATTACTTACTCTTTTTAGAGAAGAGCCTTTAGTTGGACCTAATGTTAGCTTTGGAGGTTCTGGAAAAGCAACTTGGTTTCTTAGCTTCACAGCAAGGAGAGCTGAAGTCCACAGATTCTTTGAATTATTAAAATAGATCTACAAATTTATGTGTAAAGTACAGAAGATTAGGTACTTATGAGTCAGAGCAACATAGTAAGAGTCTCAAACTATTAACTGATTGCATATTAATTATGAAATATTTACACTCGTATAAATCCATTTAATGTTTTTTTCTCTAATCAGGAATCTATTATAATGCATCAAAGGGATCAACACAAAGGGCCAATCTCTAATACAACTTCTCCCAAGAGAACTGAGAAAGATTTTAGCCCAAATCTGTAAATTAACTTAATGAAAAATAATGCACTTTGCTAGGGGTTGTGGTGAACACCTGTAATCCCAGCATTTGGGAAGCCAAGGAAGGAGATGACTTGGAGGCTAGCCCGAGCCACCATACCACAACTCTCTCTCTCAAACAAAACAAAGGGAACAAAAATGTATTCAATCTCAGTAGGAGTTCTCTCTCAGTAATCTCTTACCTTCCTCCTTGCAGGCAAAGATACAGAAATCAAAGTAGGAGCAAAGAACTTATACAGCGATAACAAAGCCTGGAGATGATGCTGCATTCCCTGAAATAAAGTAAGAATTTTCCATTTTTCAGTTCAGCGATCAAATACAAACTAAGAGCTAATACTAAACAAAAGGTGATAAAAAACTAAGTCTAAACCTTTAGACTCTAATTTTACAATTTGTCAGAACAATAAAAAGCTATAGAAAGTATAGAAATGAGTAACCATCTGGATGTGGAAGCACACACCTTCAATCCCAACAACCAGGAAGCACAAGTAGAAACAAATGGAACCCGATATCAGTTTAGGACTAGCCTGGTCTACATATACAGTACCAGGCCAGCTAGGGCTAAATAGTGAGAAACTGTCTGTGCTGGCTAGTTTTTATGTCAGTGTGACACAAGGGAGGGTCATTTGGGAACAAAGAATCTTTTCTGAGAAAATACCTCCATAGGATTGTCCTGTAGAACTGTCAATTGATATTGATAACTGATATTTGAGGGCCCAACCCACTTTGAGTGGGGCCACCCCTGGGCAGGTGGTCTTAGGGTGCATAAGAAAATAGGCTGAGCAAGATGAAATAAACTCTTTCCTCCCCAAGGAATTTTTAGTGACAGCAATAGAAACCCTAACTAAGACATTGTCTCAAAAAAAAAAGTAGAAAACGAACAACCAGATAATTCATATCAACAATCTTAAATTTCTCCAATGAATAATCTTCTATTTTATGACTGTAACCTTATTTACTTCTTCCATGTATTTTCTTGATTCTTCTGCCTGTATTTTAGTCCTAGAACTCATACTTGCTAATACAGCATGGGTTTATTTAGAAGGGCAATTTACTCAAGCTTCAGTGTTTATTACTCCTTTTTTTTCCTTCTTTTTTTTTTCCCGAGACAGGGTTTCTCTGTGTAGCTTTGGCACCTGTCCTGGAACTCACTTTTTAGACCAGGCTGGCCTCAAACTCCCAGAGATCCACCTGCCTCTGCCTCCCGAGTCCTGAGATTAAAGGCGTGCTCCACTACCGCCCCGCCTGTTTATTACTTTTTAGGGCTAGAGAGATAGCTGTTCAGATCACCAGATACTCTTGCAAAGGACCCAGGCTCCATTCTCAGCACCTACATGGCAGATCACAGTATTTATAACTCCACTTCCATGAGTTCTGACACCCTCTTCTGGACCATTCAGGCACTATACACATGTGATGCATACACATACATGCAGGCAAAATACCCATAAATATAAAACAAATCTTTAAAAAATAAAAATAGCAGCCGGGGTGTGGTGGCACATGACTTTAATCACAGCACTCGGGAAGGGGAAGCAGAGGAAGGCACATCTCTGTGAGCTGGAAGCCAGCATGGTCTACATAGCAAGTTCGAGGACAGCCAGGCCTACATAGTCTCAAAAAAAGTAAATGAATAAAGTATACTCATCTTGAATTAAATATCAAGGAGTTAAGACCAAGAATGGAGTCAAGAAAACAGAAAAGAGGAAATGTTAATTTAACAGGAACACTTAGTCATCCTAAATCCTGCAAAATTCATTAGGAAGGCCAATGAAGCTTGTGATATGCACTGTAAGCCATTTTTCATATACTTGCTGTCGCTGATTGTTCCATCTTCACAGCTGCCCTCTCTAGGGGTATACAACAGTCAAGCAGCTGGACACAACCAAAGTAAGTCTTCAAAATACCAACTTAGAACTGAGCAAACAGCTGTCAACAGAGTACATGCCTGGCCAGCATGGAGGCCTGAGTTCCATCCCCAGAACCCAAGTTTTTAAAAGTCATGTGTGGTGTTACATGTTTGCGGGTGTATTTGTTAGAGAGGCAGAGACAGCTGGATCCCGGGGTTCACTTGCCATTCACTTGCCTAGTGTACTTGGCAAGCTTCAGACTAGTGAGAGGCCCTGTCTCAAAACAAAAGGTGCATAGGGACTGATAAAATGGCTCAAGAGGTAAAGACAACTATAGCCAATCTTAATGACACGAGTTCACTCCTTTAGACCTGAATGGTGGAAAGAGAAAACCAACTTTGGCAAGTTGTCCTGATCCCCATAAGCACACCATGGCACATGCTCACCCATACATCTATAAAACACACACACACACAGAGAGAGAGAGAGAGAGAGAGAGAGAGAGAGAGAGAGAGAGAGAGAGAGAGAGAGAGAGATTGAGATTCATACACACACGGTAGATAGATAGACAGACAGACAGATAGATAGATAGACACAGACAGACAGACAGATACATAGATAATGCGGTGGATAGCTCCTGAGGAATGACATTCAAGACTGTTCTCTGGTCTCCCTGTATACTCATATACACATGTGCACCCTTGTAAACAAGTGCATACACATAAATCCTAACTTTGGAGTCTGGGGATTGTCTCAGTGGTAGAGTTCTTCCCTAGCATGTGTAAAGCATGGGTTCAGTTTGTAGCAACACACACACACACACACACACACACACACACAGTGACATGTACATAACGATTTTTTTTAAACAACACATATTATTGCAGACACCTTTAGGACTTATTGTATGGCTGACAACTTATCTTTTGGTTAAAAATGAATATATTGGGCCAGGCAGCAGTGGTGCATGCCTTTAAACCCAGTACTCAGCAGGCAGAGCCAGGTGGATCTCTGTGAGTTCGAGGCCAGCCTGGTCTACAGCACAAGAGTCAGGACAGGCACCAAAACTACACGGAGAAACCCTGTCTTGGAAAACTTAAAAAAAAAATGAACATCTTGTACTGGAGACTGAACCAAGGCCTCATGCATAATAGGCAAGTACTCAACCACTAATCTATACCTTCAGCAGCTTTGTTTTTCTGTTTTGTTGACTGAGTTCTCAGAAAGTACGTTCCTTTAAGCTAAGACTCACTTAGCTTTGTATCTCCAAAGCCTAGCTCAACACCTAGCTCAAAGTGCAACTGGATATGCTAAGGTATTTTCTACACTCACCATTTTGGCCTGAAGATCAAGCAATTTTCTCACGCGAAATGGTTTGACTAGAAAACAAAAAAGAGAGGTTCTAGGCATTTGCTTCCACAAAAGAAGTCAGTTATACTTAACGGCCATGTAATTCATATGATTTCTTCTCCCAACACATTAAAAATAGAAAGAGCTCCTTACTTAAGCCACTATGCAGATGCTCTTAGATAAAAGTACCAAAAAACAATTTTTAGAAAGCGAGAGTGGTCATATAAATAATGCTAACAGTTATTTAAGTTTATAAAGGACCAGAGGAGCGCTGATTCTACAGAGTATAAGTAACAGGACTGGAACGAAATACTTACCATTCTCTTTTTTAGTCAGTAAATATAACAAATGGCAAACATGGGGGCACTGTTCAAATATAAAAAAGAAGAAAAATGACAGTGTTATTTAACCAAAATATACTCAATGTTATCTGAACAAAATAACACCACACCTTCCTCAAACGGCAATCATATGCTACGTAAAACAACTTTAGGGCTTTACTGAACAACAGTTTTACAAAGCATTCTCTTATTACACGATAGGCTGAGTATTCCTTATCAAAAATCCTGGCCACCAGAAGTGACTATTCCACCTGAGCTATTTCCATGTGCTTAATGAAAAAGTTAAAGGATGATACCTGACATGAAATTCACTGGTGATTTACACACACCTGATACAGACAGTTTGGAGGTAAATTTACACAATGATTTTAATGTGTCTGTGTTTTGACTATGGCTTGTTTCATAAAGCAAGGAATTTTCCACTTTTTGTCTTTGTGAGGTCTATGCTCACATATGTGTACAAGTACCTGCATCCTTGCATGTGCACACTTGTGAGACCAGATTTTGAATTGTTGAATGCTTTCAATTTCAGATTTTCAGACTAGGCATGCTTAAACCTGTATGTGACAGTAATGTTTTAGAAAAGAGCTTCAATTGACAACAAGATGAGTAAAAATTTGTTTGCCCTTTATTTAATTTTTGAAGATCTATGTTTAATATATATGACTGCTTGCGTACATGTATGTATATACACCACATGCCCACCTGGTGCCCATGGAGGCCAGAAGAGGGCACTGGATCCTCTGGAACCGGAGTTATAGATAGCTGTGAGCCATCTTGAGAGTACTGGGAACTAAATCTAGGTCCTCCACAAGAGCAACAAATGCTCTTAACTGCTGAGTCATCCCTCCAGCCCAATAGTTTTGTTTTAAAATATAAAAACAACATGGACAATTTTGAACAAAATCTTGACAAAAATTTCCTTGGAAAAAGAAAATGTGGTATTTATACACAATGGAATTTTTCAGTCATAAAGGAAAATAGCATCATACTACTTGCAGGAAAATAGATGGAACAGGAAATATTTGAGAGAATTAAGCCAGTCTTGGAAAGATGAATATTATGTTTTCTCTCAAGTGTGGTTCATAGACTTTTACATAGATACATAAAATCATATATATATATGACTTAAAAGTAGAAGCAAAAATGTCTAGAGGAACCAAAGCAAATTGATTAATGAGAGGGAGGGTGAGTAAAAGGCAAGGTAGGAAAGTATGGGGAACATTTTCAATATGTAATATATATTTGTAATATTTATGTAATATCTATATGTAATTAATATATATTAATAAATATGCATGTGTAATAGATGTAAAATATATGTAATAAATATATATGTAATATATATTTATGTGACACAGCACCATGTACAATACACAGATACAATGAAAATTTTCAAAAAAACTTGTTTAATTATGTCCCTTTTAGTACTAGAGTTCATATTTACTAAGATACAAAATTAAAACTTTTATCCTCGGGGCTGGAGATATGGCTCAGAGGCTAAGAGCATCTGTTCTTCCAAAGGACAGCAGTTTTGATTCCAAGCACACAACAGAGTGGCTCCCAATCATCTGTCCCTTCAGTTCCAGGGCATCCAATGCCTACTCTGACTTCCTTGGGCTCCTGTATGCACACAGTGCACATATATACAACCAGGTGCACACAAATACACAGTTCCCCACTTTAAAGCATTTTATTCTACTGCTTATTATTCAAAATATCATTTTCAGTGATATCTCATTTTCCATTGCGTAGATATAATTTTTTATGCACAGGACTCTACACATGTTGAGTAAATGCTCTGTCTCTGAGTTCAAACTCCTGCCAAATATACCATAATTTAAGTAATGACTCAGTCTACAGTCTAGCAAATAGGACCCACTCAATAAATTTTTATTAAATTATTGAGACCAATCTTCTTCATTTTTAGTGTCCATCTGCTGAAGATGTAGTTCACTTGGTAAAGGGTTTGCCTAGCATGCACAAAGCCCTGGTTTTAAATACAGATTTGGTGGTCTAGATCTGTAATCCCAGCACTCTGGTGGTAGAAATAGGAGGATCAGAATTTTAAGTTCTTCTTCAGCTACAAGTAGGAGGCCAGCCTGAGATACATGAGACCTTGTCTCGGATGGATGGATGGATGGATGGATGGATGGATGGATGGATGGATGGATAGATGGTGTATGGATGCATGCAGGCCACTCCCATTCACTTATGTATTGTCTACAGCTACTTTGAAACTATACCAGCTGTGATTGAGATAGTATGGCCCTCATATGTAAAACAGTTACTTCTGGGCCTTTAAGGAAAGTTTTTCCACACTTGCTCTCAATGATCAAAAATGAAAAAGCCAATTATAGCCAAGCATGGTGGCTTACGACTTTAATTTCAGCACTTGGGAGGCAGAGGCAGGCAGATCTCTGTGAGTTCAAGGCCAGCCTGGTCTACAGAGTGAGATCCAGGACTGCCAGAGCTACATAATGAGATCCTGTCTCAAAAAAGAAAAAAGTCAACTATTTAATGGAAATAGAGAAGCAACAGAGCTGGCAAAAAGGCCTAGCAGATAAAAGCTCATGCTGTGCAAACCTGATGGCCTGAGTTTGATCCCTGGAAGTAGAAGGTAAGAACCAATTCCCAGTCCCCCAATCTTTATATGTTCGCTGTGGTAAGTGCACATCCACACTCACACACATAAATCATACTCACCCATATGCATGCACATACACACATATGCATACAAGTAATAAATACATGAATTTCTTTAAAAAGCAACACAATGATACTCTTTAAACAAATTGGCATATTAGTAGTCATTACTCTATAGTCTGAAGTATAGCAAATTCTATACTGCTTTTTCTGCACTTAGAAATGGATTCAGATAGACTCTAAGTATAATTTTAAGATGAAAGAATCTAGATTTCAGTACAAATTCATTACCTCACACCCCTAGGATATGAACCATTAGCAACACTATTCATCATGTTGAATACAAAATGTGCACCACACAATTGCTGGCCTGAGGCTCCAGCCAGTATTATGGGGAATCTGACATTCTCCTTTAATCACATCTAGAAAGGAAAACTCCATATGCAGCTCAAACATTAGAGCTGCACTGAAGGCAAATATTTAACTGTCACATCTGAGTCAGAATCCCATCAAATTCTATGAAAACGACTTTTTAAAAATATTACTTTTAAATGCTAAGTCCTGTTGCTAGCGATGGTGACTCACACCTATAAGTACTGAGAAGGCAGAAAGATAGCAAATTCAAGGTTATCCTGTACTATACAGGATACTCTGTCTCAAACAAACAAACAAAAAACAGAAAATGGGGCCAGTGAGAGGGTCAGCAGGTGAAAAAGCGTTTGTTGCTCAAGCCTGATGACCTGATTTTCATCTCTGGAACCACAGTGGAAGGAGAAAACCAAGTCCTGAAAGTTGTTCTCTGACATTCAGCGGCTCACCAGGTTAGGTACACACCCACACTCACACATATGCGTAATAAACCCAATATAATTTTCTAAACAAGAAAAAAACCTTAGCACCTTTCCCATTTGTTGAGCTGGGTGATATTTACACAAATGTAATTACTTGGGGAAAAAAAAAAACTTAGGGACTGGAGAGATGGCTCAGAGGTTAAGAGCAGTGGCTGTTCTTCCAGAGGTCCTGAGTTCAATTCCCAGCAACCACATGATGGCTCACAACCATCTATAATGAAATCTGGTGCCCTCTTCTGACCTGTAAGAATACATGCAGGCAGAACACTGTATACATAATAAATAAATAAATAAATAAATAAATAAATAAATAAATAAATAAATAAATAAATAAATAAATCTTTAAAAAAGGAGAAAAAAGGAAAAAACTTAAGCGGGGCTGGGGAGTTGCCTCAGTAGTTAAGACTGCTTGTTGCTCTTGCAGACGACCTGAGTTTGATTTCTACCACCCACATGGCAATTTACAACTGTTTATAACTCCAGGACCAGGAGACCTAAGGCCCTCTTCTGACCTCCAAGGGCACTAGGTACATGTATGATGCATATACATAAGTGCAGACAAAACACTCATACACATAAAATAATTAAATAAATCTTTAAAAAAAAAACATAGAAACATTGCACTCATTTTAAGAAGCCAGTCATGGTCAAGCAAAACAGCTCAGCAGGTGAAGGTAGCTGTTGCCAAGCCTGACAAGAAGAGTGCAGGCCCCAGGAGCCACACAAGAAGTAGTCAATCAACTCCCTCAAGTTGTCCTCTAATTTCCACATGTCTACACACACTAAACAAAACTGTAGCTTTTAAAATAATAAGATAAAACACTTCATTATAAAGGAGGCTGAAGAAGTTGGGCGGTGGTGGCACACGCCTTTAATCTTAGCACTCGGGAGGCAGAGGCAGGCGGATCTCTGTGAGTTCGAGGCCAGCCTGGGCTACAGAGTGAGTTCCAGGATACCCACGGTTGTTACACAAAGAAACCCTGTTTTTTTTTGGGGCGGTGGGGGGGAGGCTGGAAAAACGGCTCAGTGGTTCAAGGCACTCCTCGCTCTTCCAGAGGACCCAAGTTCAAGTCTCAGCATCCATACCAAGCCGCTCACACTTTCTATAACTGCACCCCAGGAGAGCCAACACCCTGTTCTGGCCTTTGAAGGCTTCCATACATACATTTTATTCATTCACACAGACACACACATAAATAAAAATGACAAAATAAATCTTTTTTTTTTTTTTTTGGTTTTTTTCGAGACAGGGTTTCTCTGTGTAGCTTTGCGCCTTTCCTGGAGCTCACTTGGTAGCCCAGGCTGGCCTCGAACTCACAGAGATCTGCCTGCCTCTGCCTCCCAAGTGCTGGGATTAAAGGCGTGCGCCACCACACCCGGCTCAGACAAAATAAATCTTAATAAAATAAAAACAAGCCAGTTACAAAGACCACATATTATATGGTTCCTTTAACTTTAACAGAAAATTAAGTAATGAACATGTTCTAAAATTGACTATGCTGATGAATGCATTTATCTACGACTACACAAAAAAACGAGTTATATGCATTATCTTGCATGTTCTGAGTATTTTTAAAACATGTTTTTGTTAGCTGTCTTAATTTCTTGTTGTTGTGATAAGACACCATGACCAAGGCAACTTATAGAAGGAAGTGTTTATTTAAGGCTCACGGTTCCAGAGGGTTAGCCATGACCATGATGGCAGGGAGCATGGCAAGAGGCATGGCACTGGAGCAGTTGAGACCTCAGATCTTGAGCCAGAACCATGAGGCAGAGAGAGCTAATTAGCAATGGCATGGGCCTTTGAAGTCTCAAAGCCCACCCCAGTGACAATCTCCTAATGCTTCCCAAACAATTCCACCAACTGGGAGCCAAGTATTTAAATATATGAGCCTATGAGGGCCATTCTCATGCAAACCACCACACTGGCCTCAAATTCACAACCCCCCTGTCTTAACCCTAAGGACAGAGAATACAGGCATATGCCATCATACCATGCTTGAATTGTATAAATAAGTGAACTGCATGGTATTATTTATCAATAAAACTGTGAATTTTTTAAAGCAGCCAGAAGAGGTAAGGTGTATGACTCAGTAGAGCACTTACCTAGCATGGAAGGGGTGTAAAGCTCTGAGTTTGACCCCAGCACTGAAAAAAAGGAACAAACTAACAAAGTTCAGGGTAAAACACCAGAAGAAAAAGAAAATAAATTACAATTGGACCAATTCAATAACACAAGCAATGAGCCAGAAGAATACTGTGGTATCATGAGATTTTAGCTTCATAATACATGTAGAAAAATCAATTTTCAAGAACCAGATCCAGAAAAAGACCTTTTCAAAGAGTTTCTCCCAAAAGATTTTAACCTCAAGAATGGTCTGAAGGTATATTTTTAGCAGAAGGAAAATGAATTGATATCAAAGGTGTAAGATGCAAAAACAAATATGAGCAAAAATACTAAGAATCATGTGGGCAAAGCTAAACACACATGAACTATAGAGACCGTAATAACTACATGCTAGAAATCCCAAAAACAGGATGCTAAGGCAGGAGGATCATGTGTCTGAAGCCAGTCTGGGCTAGCTATACAGAAAATCTTTATTTCAAAAAAAGCAAAAGCTAAAGCAAAACCAGAACAAGATATGCTAGATAGTTTTATGTTAAGTTGACACCAGCTAAAGTCATCTGAGAGGAGGGAACCTTAATTAAGAGATTGCTTCCATGAGATCAAGCTGTAGGCAAGCTCAATACTCTATGGGGCATTTTCTTAATTAGTGATTGATGGGGGAGGGCCCAGCCCATTGTGAGTGGTGCCATCCCTGGGTTGGTGGTCCTGGGTTCTAGAAGAAAGCAGACTGAGAAAGATTCCTCCATGGTCTCTTCATCAGTTCCTGCCTCCAGATTCTTGCCCTGTTTGAGTTCCTATCCTGACTTCCTCCAATAATGAGCAGTAATATGGAAGTGTAAGCCAAATAAACCTTTTACTCTACAAGTTGCTTTTTGGTCATGATATTTCGTTGCAGCAACAGAAACCCTAACTAAAACACAAGATAAGAATAATACCTGATTTCTGTGTATGTGAAAGCTAGAGAAGGAGCATGTGGCGGTATGAATGGGAATGACTCCCATAGGCTCATATATTTGAATGCTTGGTCCCAGTTGTTGGGACTGTTTAGGAAAGATTAGAAGGTATGATCTTGTTGGAAGAGGTGTGTCACTGGGTTTCATCCTGCCTCTAGTCTTTCTCCTAAATCATACTAGTTGGCACTACTAGATACAACCCCGATAGAGCTGCTTTCAACATATTGGGTTTAAAACGTTTCAGTGATATCTTACTGAATAAATAAAGTTCAGGCTGGGTGTAGTGGAGCACACCTTAATCCTACTGTTCCCAACACAGAAGCAGGTAAAAGTTCTAGGATAACCTGTTCCACATAGAGCTCCAGGCCTGCCAAAGCTACATAGTAAGACCCTGTCTCAAAATAAATAATTTCAACTTCTAATCAAATAAATAACCTCTACAATCTACCCTCAACCCATGTTTCTCAGTCTTACCAACTACTTTCACCTAATACCAACTTCAATTAAGTCAGGCTGGTCTGTATGTAACGTCTCCTAAAAAACAATTTATACATCTCAAACCTTCGCCTCATAACAAATATTATTTCCTCCTGTCAAATCCCTGAATCACAGAGCACGGTGGCACGCCAGTACTAGGCAGGTAGAAGCAGGCAGCTCTCTAAATTCAAAACCAGCCTGATCTACATAGCAAGTTCCAAGCCAGCCAGAGCTTCATAGTGAGACTGGCTCAAAGACAAAACCAAACCAAACAAAATCCCAAATCCAATTCCTCCTCCCAAGGCCCAGCTCAATGCTTACATCTTTTATAATGATTTTACTAATCACTCTGATTTGCAGGGTTTCAGTCTAAAATACAGCAGAGTAGTTACAATGTTTATGTTATTATTTTGCTGTCTTTAATAACTGAACTCATTTTTTTAAATGTGTAGGATGTTCTGTCTACATTGTATGTTTATGTAGCACATGTGTGCAGTGCCCTGCAGAGGCCAGAAGAGAGCATATGATCCCTTGAAACTGGTTACAGTGATCAAAACTGACAGTTTTGATCCACTGTCTAACTGAATCCACGCCCCCTGAAAGAGCAGCCACTGCTCTTAGCCACTGAGCCATCTCTCTATCCTCATAATTCAATTCTTGAGTTGTTACCTTCATGTGATTTCTTTAATTCCCTTGCTACATTTTTACATTACTGAACTACAGAAAGCTAAATTTTTAGCCTAGGGGTTGGAGAGATGGCTCTGTGGTTAAGACCACTTGTTGCTCTTGCAGAGGACACAGGTTCAATTCCCAGTACCCACATGGCAGCTCACAACTGTCTATTAACCCTAGTTCCAGGGGATCCAAAACACTCTTCTGAACACTATGGGCACCAAGCCTACAAGCAGAACACAGACATACATGTGAGCGAAACATTCATACATATTTAATAAAAATAAATTCATTCCTACCTAGTACAAGGCAAGAAAGAGGATGCAGCATGAACTTTAATAAGTAAAATCAATGCATGAATTCCATTCCCAAAGCCAAGAGGAATTCGGTTAGGTATGTGCCTTACATGGCCTATAAACTGTCCTTGAAAATCTTCTAGGTGGCTAGTAGATTGACTTCTTGGGATTACTGATGTTTTTAATAGGAATAATTATGCTATTTAATCAAAAATCAGTCCATTTGCAACTAGTGAAATGTTATGTTCTCCTTCTCGTGGGTTCTGATGTAGTTTTTGCAATGTCAAGAAAATTCAGAGTAAGTCACCCAAAGGCCTAAGCTGACATGGTTTAAAAGGGAAAATGGCAATCACTGAGCTCAATCAACAAAACTCTTTCTGTACCATTATTTCTTTAAAAGGAGATATAGAGCAAATACCACAGATTGGTTAATCTGTGAGACAGCACAGCAAAGATCTCTGCTGTGTAATTCTTTCTACTTTCTGTATTCTTGGTACATCTTAAAATAAGTATGGAACACACATTGGGGGCACAGCAATAAACAGAAAAATAGTATTTGACTGAAGCTCAATGCTGTTCAGGGTTTACTTACCAGAGCATCATCTTGCAACGAAGCAAAAAAGAAGCCATAGAGCAAATTAATTTGCTTCTTATGATCAATAAAGTCAAACATTGCAACCAACCATCGATAAAAAAGTACCTGTTGACAGAGAAAATACTGCCTTTAGAGAAGGTAACTAATTGTTGCAGAAGAGCTTTAATCTCTCCTCAGTGCTACTTTAAAAGCTTCTAGCACCAAGTAGGATAATAGATTTTTATTTCTTAGTAAAAGTTTCTGTTTGAACAGGGTCCTTTTATCAAGCTACATTGTTCTGAAACCACAGGTTATACACAAAAGGCCACTGCCATTACTCCAGAAGTGGCTCTCTGCTAGCCCTTAAGTGGGTTCTGAAGGACTTATCATCGAAGTATCTAAAAGAAGATTACCTTGATATTACTAGAACACTTGCCAACACAGAGCCAGGATACCGCCTTAACCACAGAATCTTCTGATATGAGAGTTTCTGGAATCATGCACTTTAATATCCGTGTGTTTATAGCATTCCCTGGAAAGCAGACCAACTCTAAATTAAACTGAACTTCAATGTCTCAATTGTTCCTTTACTATGGTCATAACTCTCTAAAACAAACTAAAAAGCAAATTACTTTGTGTGTGTACATGTCCATGTGATTGTAGATGTGTACATGAAATATGTATCTGTGTAGAGGCCATAGTTGGATGTTAAGTGTCTTCCTTAATTGTTCTCCACCTTACTTTTTAAAAATTATTTTTATGTTATTATTTTATATGTATGGGTATTTTGCCTGCATATATGTCTGTGTACCATATGCATGCAAGGTCCACTGAGGTTAGAATAGGGCACTGGATACCCTGGAACTGGAGTTAGAAACAGTTGTGAGCTGCCACTGAGTGCTAGGAATCAAACCTGGGTCCTCTGGAAGAGTAGCAAGTGGCCTTAACCACTGACCCATCTCTCTAGCCCCATCCACCTTAATTTTATTTATTTTATGTACATTGGTGTTTTGCCTGCATGTATGTCTGTGTGAGGACGCCAGATCCCCTAGAACTGGAGTTACAGACAGTTGCAAACTGCCATGTGGGTTCTGGGAATTAAACCCAGGTCCTTTGGAAAAGTGGCCAGGGGTCTTAACCACTGAGCCATCACTCCAGCACCACTTACTTTTTGAGACACAGTCTGTCAATGAAGCTGAAGCTCACAGATTCAGCTAGATTAATCCTATGGATCCTCTGGTCTCCATCTCCTCAATGCTAGGATTACAGGTACATGCCTCTGTCCCTGGCTTGCTGCTTTCTTTCTATCTATGCATGGGTATTTTGTTTGCATAAATGTGAATGCATCACATGTGTATCTGAGGCAGAAGAATGTGTTAGATCCCTAGGACTAGAGTTACAGAAGGCTGTGAGGTGCCATGCAGGTACTAGGAATTGAACCCAGGTCCTCTGGAATGCAGCTAGTGCTCTTAACCACTAAGTCATCTGTCTAGGCCCTTGCCCTTGGCTTTTAAGTGAGTAATGGAAATTCAAACTCAGGTTCTCATTCTTGCATGGCAAGTACTTTGCCAACTGAGCCATCTCCCCAGCTCCTAAATCAAATTATTTGACCCAAGTACATCTATTATAAAAAGGAGGTTAAGGGACTGGATCTGGTGGCACACGCCATTAATCCCAGCACTTAGAGGAGGCAGAGGCGGGTGATTTCTGTGAGTTCGAGGCCAGTCTGGTGTATAGAGCTGGTTCCCGGACAGCTGAAGATACACAGAGAAACTCTGCCTCAAATTTTTTTTTTTCAGGCTAGGGAGATGGCTCAGAGGGGTAAGAGCACTGGTTGCTCTTCCAGAGGACCCGGGTTCAATTCCCAGCACCCACATGGCAGCTCACAACTGTCTGTGGCTCCAGTTCCAGTGGGTCTGGCACCCTCACACAGACATACACCAATGCACATAAAATAAAAAAATATTTAAAATTTTTTTTTTCTTAAAGGGCTGGGCATGGTGACTCATGCCACTATTCCCAGAACTTGGGAGGCAGAGGCAGGTGGATCTCTAAGTGTGGAGGTCAGAGCACAACTAGTGGGAGAGTGGGAACTGGCTCTCTCCTTCCACTGTGTGGGATCCAGGGACTGAACTCAAGTCCTCAGGCTTGCAGGCAGGTCTGAGGAGTCAGCTTGCTAGCCCATACACATGAAAATGAAGATAAGCTATCCTGAATGTCTGGACACGGATGAGAAAAAGCTACAAGCAAAAAGAACACTGATCAGGTGGTATTTCTCAGCCTCTCTCCTACCTCTAACCCTAACCAATGAAGTTAGGACAGGAAACGCAAAAGAGAAAAGCTTCTTGACTGCCAGGATCAGAGATACTGGAATGAAGACAGTATAAATAGGAACTTGTCAGATACACACATGCAAGCAAAAACACTCCTACACATAAAGCTAAGTAAATAAATAAATCTTTTAAAAAAAAAAAAAGCCTGAGTGTGGTGGTCCACATCTGTATTCCCAGGAGGATCAAAGCCGATTCAAGACCAACCTACTCTACTTGGCAAATTCCAAGTCAACTTCAACTATCTTACTGTGTCTCTGCGTGTGTATGTGTTTCTTGTGTTTTTTCTTTGGGTTTCTCTCTTTGCCTGTATGTTTTGTTCTATTCTGGCTTGTTTATTTGTCTGTTTTCTAAAGAGAGAGAAAAAGGTGTGGAGTGGGATGGGTGGGGAGATGGGGATGAAAGATGAAGGAGGGGAAATCATGGTCAGAATATACTGTATAAAGATTATTTTCAGTAAAAAAAGACACAGTACATTTCCTTTGGAAAGAAAAAGACAAAACAAATAAAAACAAAAAACTGCCCCAAAGGCAAAACTACTAGGAAACTGATGACAAATGCATCAGCTCAACATACCAAACTTGCCACTGAGTGCCACATTTAATAAAATGTCAATTGCTTCTGGAGCTAAGCCATTTTTCCAAGCCACATTTTCCACAGTTTTCAAGTGTTTTTCCAAGACCTTATCTTTATTCAGTGAAGCTTTCTTGGGACCTAGAAAAAGAAACAATATTAAACAATGAGACTGTGGAAATTCTTTCAGTGTTCATCCTCAACAATTACAACCCAGGGACTTATGAAAGGAATGGATTTATGCAATAAATGTCTCCCTTTTATAAAACAAAAAATAAAACAAACAAAACACCTTCATAGCCTTTATTACTCAATACTTAGCAACAATAGAATCTTCAGTGAAGAAAACTTCCATCATGCCCTGACAAGTATATGTACACACACACACACATACACATATATAAAACATTGAACTTAAATTAAAACTTCTTTCAATATTAGGACAATTCCCAAACTCTAAAGTGCAATGAATTACCTAGAAACCTTTGTGTATATACATGAGTGTATGTGTGCACCTATTCCTGAGCCATGTATAAGTATGTGTTGGGGGACAGAGGTTTGGAAGACAGAGGTTGACGCTAGGGATATTCCTCTATCACTCACCACTTTATTTATTTATTTATTTTTAGACAAAGCTGCTCACTGAACTTGGAGCTCACCAATTTGGCTAGACTATCTGGCCAGTAAGCTACAAGGAGTCTCCTATCTCTGCCATCTGCATACTGGTAATTTGAACTCAGGACCTTATACTTGCAAAGGAAGTACTTCTTCAACTGGGCCATCTCCTCAGCCTACCTAGAAGCCATTAAAGTCACACTGCCGGTATGGAGCAATGGCTCAGAGGTTAAGAGCACTGACTGCTCTTCCAGAGGTCCTGAGTTCAATTCCCAGCAACCACATGGTGGCTCACAACCATCTGTAATGAGATCTGGTGCCCTCTTCTGGCCTGCAGTCATACATGCTGTATACATAATACATAAATAAACCTTAAAAAAAAGATATTTAAAAAAAAGTCACACTGCCACGTTACACCCCATACCAACAAAATTTGCTGTCTAAGATTAGATGAGAAGTATTAGTATGTTTTAAAAGATTCTGAGGCAATCAGAGTGTCTGCCAATCACCATGCTGGGAAGATGTTTTGTCTATAGTATATAATATATTGTCATATGGTAAATTCTCAATAAATGATAAATGACTATTAGATAAAAATTTGAATAAACCAAAACATCTTTCCTTTAAAAACATCTTAAGGCTGGACATGGTGTTGTACACCTTTAATCCCAGCACTTAGGAGGAAGAGGCCGGTGAATCTCTGCGAGTCTAAGGCCAACCTGGTCTACAAAGTGAGTTCCAGGACAGCCAGGGTAATACAGTGAGACCCTATCTCAAAAAAAGTCTTAAGAAAAAAGACAAGAATTATTTTTGGACAGGTTCCCACTATATAGCCCAATCTAGCCTTGAATTTAGGTTCATCTTACCTCAGCCTTGCCCCCAGTGTTGGGATTACAGGTGTGTCTGCCACTACATCCAGCAATTAAGACTAAAATATTTTTAGAGAGAAATAGGACTTTTGGGGCTGAAATTGTAGCTCAGATTTGAGAGTGCTGGGTTCTATCACCAGCTCCACATAAACCAGGCATAGTAATGCATAACTGTAACCTCAGCAATCAGGAGTTAGAGACAGCCGGGCGGTGATTGTGCATGCCTTTAATCCCGGCACTCGGGAGGCAGAGCCAGGCGGATCTCTGTGAGTTGGAAGCCAGCCTGGTCTACAGAGCGAGATCCAGGAAAGGCGCAAAGCTACACAGAGAAACCCTGTCTCGAAAAACCAGAGTTTGAGAGACAGTCAGACTGGGAGTTCAAGGTCACTCTCAACTACATAGTAAGTTCAAGGCCAGCCTGGCTGGGATACATAGAGTACCAGTCTCAATAAAAAAGTAAAAAAAAAAAAACAAAAGAACAAAAAACCCTACACTTTCATAAGGAAACCAAACTGCCTTTACCTTTCTGAAAGTATCCTACTGCAATTTGCAGATCATCTTCAGCTTGATCATCGGTGTGTTCAGACTCTTTCACGGAATTGCTTTCTTTCAAGACACTCTTCGAGTTGCCTGATTTCTCTTTTACCTTCCAGGCTAAGAGATTAGTCTGAAAACTATTACTACCTTGAGAAATTCTGTTTCGTAGCTGGGAGCTTCTAGTATTCCTTTGAGTTGCCATCACTGTATACATGTTCTAGACAGAAACAAGTACCAAGTTACTATTAATCAGCCAGAGACAATGACCATATTTGCCTAAATTCCCACATGCAACTAGTATTCAATGACAAAGAACCTAGGAGATATAGCCCATAGGCTTTTTTAGAAAGCCCTTGACCTGAACAGAAATAGATTAATAACTTGCCAATGTAATATATATCAGCTAAACTGGCCCTTTTAAAATGACTACATTTTGTAAGTACAAAACCATCCCATCTCATAATTGATATCTTTTTCTACTCCTATTTTATCTACCCCTCCTTGATTTTGCTTTCAATCTTTACACTCTTCTTTTTTGTTATGTTAAAACTGCACAGTTAAAAAAGCTAACTAGTGCCCAGGGTAGTTAACATTATCCATTTATTAAGTCACACATTCAATAAGTAATTACTGTGTATCACTTTATGCCAGACATAAGTCTAGTTACCAGGGCTGTAAAAATAAAACAGCATCATACCAGAATTCATGAACCCTACACTGGGGGACGAGGGTTATAAGCCAATGAATCAGTAAGTCACTAGTGCAGTGAAGTGACAGAAACAGGGTGGAGTAAGAATCTAATTTTGAGTAGGTATTCAGAGAAAGCCTCATGAATGAGAATGCCCCCCAGTAGGCCCATATATTTGAATACTTGATCCCCAGTAGATGGAACTGTTTGGGAAGGATTAGGAGGTGTGGCCTTGGAGGAAGATGTATCACTGGGGGTGGACTTTGGGGTTTCAAAACTCCACACCATTACCACGTAGCTGTCTGCCTTGTGCCTGTGGATAGGATATAAGCTCTCAGCTACTCAGCTACTGCTCCAGTGCCATGTCTGCCTGCCACAATGATGGTCGTGGACTCTACTACCCCCTGGAATAGTGAGTCTCAAATTACATGCTTTCTTTTATAAGTTGCCTTGGTCATGGTGTCTCTTCACCAAGAAAGAAAAGTAATTAAGACATCCCTCTAACGTGACCTTTAAGGTAAGATCTAAGTGCCAAGAAGGAATGTACCATTTGAAAGTGTGGTGGAAGAGTATTTTATGAGAAGAAAAAAGGAAAGCATCCAAGCAAGAAAGAACTTTGTGTATTAAAGAAAACACAACAACACCAGTGTGAACAGTGTGGAGAGAAAAAGGTAAAGTGAGAAAAGTCAGGATGGTAACAAAGGAGATCATACTGGGTCTTGTAGACAAAGAGTAAAGACTCTGACTTTTCAGTATCAAGGGAAACTACAGGAGAAGGAAAACATAAGACCATTTTTTTCTGTAGGTAGAAACTAGTTCATGAATGTTGAGAAAACACTTACCAGGCTTTGCCAAAGAAAGCAGATGACTGGCCTGCAGTCGGCCTAAGTTGTGTAAAAAAGACTCATGTGTCCTGAGATGCTCGATTCAGCAGCATATATACTTGGGTAGACTGTTAAAAAGAAAAAACAACAGCAACCAAGAATTAGACACAGGTATGAGGGAAACCAAGAATGACTAATAAGAAACCAAGACTGGCTTCTAAGTTTTTATCTTCAAGTGGGAAAATCTATGGGAACAGGTAGAATGACATTCAATCTCTTTCCCCTAGAAAAGATGAGACCAGAGCCAGAGAGCCTGTAAGTTCCAGTCTAAAGGAGGGGGAGGTCCAGTGACAAGAGCGTCCTACATAAGGGCCAGGGAGCAGATTATGACCCCATTGGGAAAACTGTTCCAGCGCCTCTTGTGGTTCAAGTCACAGCCCGCCCGCTCCTCCCACCCCCATCCCCACCCCCGCGCCGCACCTAACAGCGAAAATGGCAAACAACTCCCCTACTAGGCCGATTCCTGGGACCACAAAGGAAAATCTGATCCCAGCTACCCATTTCATGGTAAGTCTCACCCTCACGCGCTGCGGTATTCCCGAAGATCTCTGTGCCTCCACCCCAGTCCAGTCGCGCAACCCCTCACCTTGAGAACCTCGGTGACCACTCGGCCTCCAGAGCCCAAAAGCCGCCTCTGCGATTCAAAGGCGCCGGCCCCGCCCCGCGCATGCGCTTCGGAGGAGGCCGGGACTACGGAGGAGCGAAAACTAATTGGTTTGAGTGCAGCTCTAAGGCGGGAGGTGGCGCGCGCGCGAGCGGCAAATGACGCGGCTCGATGACGCAAGCGGCTGGCCCCGCCCACGGAGGCCTGGGGCGCGCCCCAGCCGGCAGTTGCTTTTGAAGTCAGTTGATTGATTGGCTGCTTTCTCCGTGTTCTGAGAAGGTTTGCATCAGTCATTCTGAGTGAAACAGTGCTAAGTGGCTGGGTGTTGAATTTAAAGTGGTTAAGTGTGGTATTCATTTTGCCCACATTGCTCCCAAATGCCAGGGCTTTGAATCTGCAGAAAAAAGTGAAACTGAAAACTTGACAATAAAGGCGGCTTTTCCCCCCATGCTGTGACTTAAAGGGTCTGTCGCTTTCCCGAGTTTGCGGGAGGGCGGGGGCTGGAGGGGAAGGAATGAACGGTAAGAGGAAACCAAGAGATCTGCCCCCTTTTGACAGACGATGGATACAAGTAACTTAAATTTACTAAGAACCGTCGGGTGGTGGTGGCAGCGGCCCACGCCTTTAATCCCAGCACTCAGGAGCCAGAGGCAGGTGGATGTCTGTGAGTTCGAGGCCAGCCTGGTCTACAGAGCGAGATCCAGGACAGGCATCAAAACTACACAGAGAAACCCTGTCTTGAAAAACCAAAAACAAATAAACAAACAAAAAAGAAAGAAAAGAGAGAGAAAAAATTAGGAGTAAAAGAGGAAATGTGTAAATGTAATGCCTCTCAGCAATCTGAGGCCATAAGATTGTTACAAACTTTATGCAAAATTATACAGGAAAAATTTGCTATCTCAGGAAGGCATAAATAATCAAGGATTAAGTTGAAGTATTTAAGATAGACATCTAACCCATTTATGACCAGCCGTAGTTCATGAAGGACTGGGCTCCGTAGAACCATGTCTGCAGGATTGCCATGACTCAGAGCATCGGCAGAATATCCAAGAGGAGTTTCGGTGAGGGTCCTGTATTGATGGCGTACCAGAAACCAGAGGCCTTGAACCAGACCAAAAATTCATTGCAATGAACATTTGCAAGTAAAGTTGATTGGAGAAAAGGGTGTATACTGCGTGATACACTGCAGCTCCCAATGCCATTAAGATGAAATGAAGAGGTGTTGGAAAGGTACGAAAGATGGAGGAGCAAAGTGGGGGTTTTTTGTTTGTTTTGTTTTTAATTAATATTTTTTACATTTTCATTGGGGGATGCTACAGGGATGAGGGGCACATATGGAAGGACTGGGAAATGAGTGGGATCAGAGTGCATGATATAAAATTCCCAAAGAATCAATTAAAAAATGTTAAAAGAACAAAAGGAAACTGGGCGGTGGTGGCTCATGCCTTTAGTCCCAGCCCTCAGGAGGCAGAAGGCAGGCAGATCTCTATGAGTTCGAGGCCAGCCTGGGCTACAGTGAAAGGCACAAAGCTACACGGAGAAACCCTATCTTGAAAAGCCAAAAAAGAAAGAAAAGAAAAACGGAAAGGGAAAAAAACTAGGAATAAAAGAAGAAATGTATAAATGTAATGCCTGTCAGCGACTTGAGGCCATAAGATTATTATGAACTTTATGCGAAATTATACAGGAAAAATTTGCCATCTCAGGCAAGCATAAATAATTGAGGATGAAGTTGAAGTATCTGAGATAGACTACAGCAGAAACGACTACCACATCTAACATGGTTTTCAGAGTAGTTTGACAAACTCATTTACACATGCATAAAAATTGAGGCTGTCCATTTTTTCTGATAACTGCTCTTTAGCAAAATTGAAATTTGTATTGAGCCATTTGTCATGCTTTTAATGATTTCATACACTCAAAGAAGTGTAAACTGGACAGGATTGAAGACTTCGCCCTCCTTTTCCTCCATGAAATGGTACCCTAAGTGATGAAATAACTTACTTAACATGGCAAATTTGTGGCAGTGCAACTTGTAGTAAAAGACACTGCTTCGTATTTATTTAATGAACCTTTGGTTTTTTTTCTTTTTCTTTTTCTTTTTTTTTTTTTTTTTTTTTTTTTTGAGACAAGGATTCTCTGTGTAGCTTTGCGCCTTTCCTGGAATTAACTCACTTTGGAGACCAGGCTGGTCTCGAACTCACAGAGATCCCCCTGCCTCTGCCTCCCAAGTGCTGGGATTAAAGGCATGTGCCACCACTGCCCGTGGTTTTTTTCTGAAATAATTTTTCATCTTTTCCTTTGACTCACTCAATAAAGACCTTCCTAATCCTGGATACGATATTGGGATGCTAAGGTGTATTTCTAAATGGTCTTAGCACAAATAAAATATCACCACGCTAAGGCTTTATCCTAAGACTCTAAGGCTTTTGCTCTTACATAGTAACATCAAAAAAAGCATGAAGGAACTTAAAAGGATGAGCAAGTTAGCAGCCTCATTTTTATACTGAGACTACTATACCCTTCTTCTCTCCTTCTTCATCTAAACTTGTGTTTGTTTGCTTGTTTGTTTGTTTGTTTAAGAGCCTGGAGATAGGTGTGGTGGCACATACCTTTAATCCAGCACTCTGAAGGAAGAAGCAGATGGATCTTTCTGAGTTCCAGGCCAGCCAGGGTTACATAGTAAGACCTTGTTTCAGAGACGGGGAGAGAGAGAGCAGGTTCCTGGGCTGGGTATAGTGGGTGACACAGGCCTGGCTGCCCAGTATTTGTGAACTAAAGAAAGAGAATCTCTACTGTGAGGCCAGTTCAGGCTACACAGTGAGACCTCGCCTTAAAACAAACAAATACCACCACCAACAAACTCAAGAAATTCACACAGACTGAAGAGCCTAAGTCCCTTGATATAGGAACTTTTCTTTCCAGATTTTCAGTCCATAATCCACACTATGTCCTCCAAATTTCAAAAACCTTTATTTTGAAAGAATGAGCGAAAGAAGACAGTTATCAATTACCAAGAACAATGACACTGAAGAAAATACAGTAAGTACTCTCCCCACACACAACCCCCGCCCCCTTTCCCATCCCTGGCACAATATTAAAACCAAAGCACATTTAACAAAGAGAAACAGCAGTATGTAACTACGAAAGCTAATTTCCATACTGCTCAATCCAACTAACCCATGTCAAACGTCCTTCCCCTAGTCAAACTCCACCCACCGGAATGCTGAAGAGGTGTAAAATAGACATTTCTGGGTGTATTTTGGACTTTGTTAACATTAGCAAAGTTCAGTGACAAATCAATACGAGTAGAGGACTCATCTGATAGATAAACACTGGCTATAGCTTCTCTATTCAATTTCAGGTTTCAGAAAACCGCTAGGGCTGGAGATTCGAACTTGTAACAGGACCAGTGACTGGTCCCTCAGTGGAAACTGTGGGAAAGCTGTCAGATCCTGGTTGGCTACTGAGAATAGTGAAAGTGAGGCAGCTTTGGTCTTAAAACCAATTTTGACTGTGGCTAGGAAAAGCTTGTTAATTAAATTTCCAACTGCTAGCCAGAGCTCAGTAGGCTGGGCTCAGACAAGGCAAGGAGAAACCTCCTACTGCATCACTTGAAGAACCAGACTAGTGGCTGCATCTGTCCCTTGTTTGAACTGAACTTGATGTTGAGTGTTTCAAACTTGAAAGTTGAACTAGAGGCTGATTAAATTGAAGAAACTCTTCTCATAAAATGGTAAGTTGTTTACAGCTTAACGCAGAAAGGGACTTCCACCCCACCTGGAAATAGGTTCTTTGTTTTCTACCAGAATAGGATTCTCTTGACAGGAGGGTTCCTTTATTCTACCTTTGCTGGCATCAATTTATAAAGGGAAGGATACCTGTGCAGGATTAGTTCAAGATCAGAGCCTCCCCTACACATGTGTGTGTACTCACACACATGGCAGTTAAATACATTCCCCCACACATAATCTCACAGTCACATGCTTGCTGGAGTCCACCTCACGAATACACCTCAATAGTAGCCATATACATGAACATGCAGCAAGATGTGAGCATTGCTCCAGAGTGATTAAAGGTGGTGCACGAATGTCAATATGGGGAGGTCATTTTAGGGTATAGATGTACACAAGCCAACTAACTTGCAGTTTGTATTTTTCTCTTTTCCCCCAAGATAAATAAATCAAATGAAAAACACACACTGATATCTTCTTGGGTGTCAAAGAGACAACTGCCTAGAAGGTCCTAATTTTGCACTTTCAATTTCTTATGACACCTTCACTTTGCCCTGCGGGGCCTTCTCATATAAGGAGGGTTGCTCCTCTGCACTCTCAGGCAAGGCCTTCTTCTCAGAAGACCGGTCTTCAGGCTTGCGGGCAATCAACAGGCGGCAGGTAAGCAGGATCCCGAACACCAGAGCATGCGCATAACGTTTGAGAGGATCACCGACCAGCTGGTGGAAGAAAAGCACAGCCAACACCAGCAGGAGCAGGAAGAAGTTGGCCACATCTTTGGGACGTCCGGGAACCAGGGTCATGACGATGCCACAGGCCACTTCAAGAGCGCCAATACTTTTTCGAAGGAGAATGGAATTGATGCCCATTTTCTTCAGCAGAGGAAGGGCTCGGACATAGCTCTTGTAAGCACGTTTCTAGAGTGGAGATATCATAAGGAAACCAATGCGTTAACCACAATTTTAACATCAGAATGAAGAAAACAGCAGCAAGGGTCTTCTCCTCCCTACCATCACCTTTTCACACCAACTGAAAGTATTCCATTTTTCACCCTGTCCCTTAAATAAAACCTTGTGAGTAGGGTAAGAAAAGAGGAGACAATCTGTTTGGGATCTCTGTGATTAAAAATGTAAAAAGTGTGGGGCTGGAGAGATGGCTCAGCAGTTAAGAGCACTGGCTGTGTTAGGCATGGTGGCACATACCTTTAGTCTCAGCACTTGATGGGGGCAAAGGCAGGCTGATCTCTGAGTTCAAGGCCAGCCTGGTCCATATATTGAGTTCCAGGACAACCAGAACTGCATAGTTTAGAGACCCTGGCTCCAAACAACCACAACAACTAAAAGAGCACTGGGTACTCTTGCAGGGGACCGGGGTTGGATTCCCAGCACCTACATGGTGGCCCATAACCTTTTCTAACTCCACTTCCATGGGGACCTGTATCTTCTGTAGCGCTGCACAAATGTGGTGCACAGACACACATACAGAAGAAAAACACTCATACACATAAAACAATTAGATGGAGCCATTAAACCACAAAGAAGGCCCTCAGCTGACCCAAACCTGCTAGCACTTTGACCTTGGATTTAGCTTCCTGAACTGTAAAAAAATAAACATGTTGTTCACAAATTGCCAATGTGTAACATTTTGTTATGACAATCTGAATGGACTCAGACAGGCATCAAGAGTAATAATGCAGCAAATCTGGTCTCCTAGTACTTTTAAAAGTTGCTGTCTGTATATCACTAAGAAACTAGAAGAAATTCATCAAACCCATAAAACTGGTCCATGCCACCCGTATCCACACTTTCTAGTACTTGCTTTGGCCAAACCCAAATGCAAGACCATGCATGGGAAAGCCTCACAAATTTGGACTTCCTTCATTGGAATGTATGGTAGGTTTTTAAAAAGCAGAGCTAAAGTCTACATTTTAGACTCTACCAAAAATGCTGATCAAATTAAAAATATACTGGGGCTACCGTTGACAGAGTTGTTGCCTAGCAGGCATGAGGCCCAGACTGCATGAATCAGGCATGTTGGCACTTGCCTGTAGGCCCAGCACTCCAGTGGTGAAAGCAAGAGAATGAGAAGTTGAAAGTCATCCTCAGCTACATAGAGGTCAGACTGATACAAATGAGACCCCTGTCCCAAAGAACAAACAAATCCCAGGTCCATTCACTGACTCAATATTTATTCTTTCCATATGCTAGGCACTGTATTCTGAATGCAAATATAAATCTTTCACAAAGAAAGCCTTATCTTCGTTTTAATTAATTAATTAATTCTTCTCATGTTTTGCATCCCAACCACAGTTTTGCCTCCCTCCTCTCCTCCCAGTCCCTCCCCATGCCTCGCCTCCCCTCTTTCCCAGATCCACTCCTCCTCTTTTCCCTTCAGAAAAGGGCAGCCCTCCTAGGGATATCAACCAAACATGGCATATTAAGTTACAATAAGACTAGGCACAAACCCTCATATCAAGACTGGACTAGGCAACCCAGTAGAAGGAAAAGGGTCCCAAGAGCAGGCAAAAGAGTCAGAGAGATTCCCCCACTCCCATTGTTAGGAGTCCCACAAGAACACCAAGCTACACGATCATAAGGTAATATGCAGAGGACCTAGCTCAAACCCATACAGGCTCCCTGTTACTCCAGTCTCCGTGAGCACCTGTGAGCCCTGCTTAGTTGATTCTATGAGGCCTTACCTTCTTGAAGCTTGAAGTTTAAAAGGGAAAGAATAGACACTGAAATGTGTAAGTGTGTTAAAGTGTTGAGTGTCTTATAAAATAATGTAATGGGTATAGTCATAAAATAATGTGATGGTTATAGTGGAGACACACCAAATCTCCTCAGCTGGTGATAGTGAGAGTGAAATCTGAAAAGAAAAGCTGGTGTTTACAAGAACAGCAGGGGCTTGGCAAATGGAGGAAAATGAATGGGGTTAAAAAGGCCCTAAAGTATAGAACAGATAAATGTGTTGTGAACACTACCTCACTTTGGTGTGGACTGGAGCAGGGAAGGGAGGGGAAATAATGAAATAGAGGAAAAACATATGGACTGCATGGTGGAAAACTTAATTGTGCTATGAAGCTTTGCACTTTGTCCTATAAGACAGTGAAAGCAACATAATCTGATTTTAAGGGATGTCTTTTTAGAAACCATGAGGATGTATTTCAACAGGTATACTTGCAAACAAGGAGATTGAGTGAGATGCTTAAACTAGCAATAACACACACACACATACACACACACACACACACACACACACACACACACACACACACACTCAAAAACCCCAAACAAGTAAAACAAGTAAAAAAATATAAAAACAGTTCAAAGACTGAAGATGCAGCTCGGTTGGTAGAGTGCTAGCCTAGTATGCAGGAGGCTGAATGAATTGGGCATGTTGGCACATACCTATTAATCCTAGCTTGGGAAGAAGAGGCAGGAGGATCTAAAGGTCAAGGTCATCCTCAGCTACAAACTGAGTTGGAAGGCAGACTGTGATACGTGAAATCCTGTCTAAAAAAAAAAATAGAGAAAGGAAAAAGAATTCTAGAACCCACAAATAAGAGAGAAAATAGGTGAATTTGTCTTTATGTATCTGATTTCACTTAATATGATTTCCAGTTGCATCCATTTTCCAGCAAATAATTCCATTCTCCTTTATTGCTCAATAAAACTCCATACTGTAGCCGGGCGGTGGTGGCCCACGCCTTTAATCCCAGCACTGGGGAGGCAGAGCCATGCAGATCTCTGTGAGTTCAAGGCCAGCCTGGTGTACAGAGCAAGATCCAGGAAAGGCACAAAGCTACACAGAGAAACCCTGTCTCAGAAACAAAACAAAACAAAACAAAAACAAACAAACAAAAAAAACCCAAAAACAAAAAACCTCCATACTGTAAGAGGAGACTTCTGCCCAGGAGGAGAGAAGAGAGGGAGATCTGTGATTGGTATGTAAAATGAAAAAAAAAATTCCTTAATAAAAAATTTAAAAAATGGACCATGTAAATTTGTGCATTAAAAAAATGAGACTTCTCGGGGATGGAGAAAAGGCTCAGCAGTTAAGAGCATATACTGCTCTTCCAGAAAACCCAAGTTCAATCCCCAGCATCCATGTGGGGTGGCTCACAACCACCTGTGACTACAGCTCCAGAAGATTCAAGGCCTCCGACCTCCATAGGCACCTACAGTCATGAGATCAGTTGCTTGGTAGTAGTTCAATCCCAAATACGTACAACAACAACAACAACAGCACACACACACACACACACACACAGTTTTCAAAGGCACCAAATGAAGGACTAGTAAGGTCAGGTCTCACTTTGTACAACTGTAGAATGAAGAAAAATTAGACCTTTTTCACTATTCCTTACTTAGCATTCATTTGCTAGGTATTATAAATAATCTATAGATGGGAATATGTACATAAATAATGTAAATACTAGATCATTTTAAGTGAGACTTGAGCATCCAAGGATTTGGGTATCACTCCACTCTTGTCCCTACCCTGCTCCTGAGCATGTGAAAAAATGTTAGTCATAGTTCTTCCTCCCTCTTCTCACCTTAGATTAGAGCAAGGAATTTTTGAAGTGAAATTGAAAGAGAGATTTTCCAGGTACAGTAAATTCTAGGTCCAAGGAAGCCAGAGCCACATGGAGCAGAACTCAGCTCAGAGTTAAAGATGTTGCTGAGAAGTCTGCCCCTTTCCTCCATGGTTAACCTGCATGCACACCACTTGCCTCCACCCCCACCTCCACCTCTTTATCCTGGTGATAGATTCAAGGGCTTCTTTAACGTTTATGAGGACCATTTTCTCTCCATTTCTTTTCAAGACAGTTTCATGTAGCCCAGGTTGGCCTCAATATGTAGCTAAGGGTGGTCTTGTACTCCTGGTCCTTCTCTCTCTCTCTCTCTCTCTCTCTCTCTCTCTCTCTCTCTCTCTCTCTCTCTCTCCAGGGTCTCTTGTAACCTAGGCTAGCCTCAATAAGTAGCTGAGGATGCCTTTGAATTCCTGTTCCTCATGCTGGTACCTCCCAAGTGCTAAGATTACTACAGTGAATCACAAAGCCCACCGCGTTCATTTTCAAAAGGACCGCTCTTAATTAACACTATGGTTTTCAAGGAAGAATTCCTAAATCCTCAAGTGTGAGCTTCTGGAGGATGCACAGAGAGGAGAAGATAAGTTTCTTGGAGATTCTACAGTCCCTTCAGGTTCCAGAACTTCCAGATATGCTCTGAGTAGCTTCTCCAAATGTCACCCCTCCAGCATGAATCACTTAACATTCAAGAATAGATTCTTATCAACGGTGTTGTGGAATCTCGAAGCAGCCATCCTCCTGTCCCTGTAACCACTCCCAGAAGAAACCTTATTTTCAGCATTGGGAATCAAACCCAGGGCCTCACACACGAAGCTAGATAAATGTTCCACCATTGAACCCTTGTTGCTTCTTTCTTTCCTCTTCTTTGGCAGGAGAAAACTGGGTAAGGCATTTCATCACATCTTTAGTCCTACGCTGAGCAGACACACATGGGACCTATTATCCATGACTCCAAATGGAAACTGTACAGGTCATTAGAAATGTGATGGTAGTGACATTATAGGGAGCCTAGTGTTCTTTCTGCTGCAGAGTAGAAGAGAGACATCAAAAGACTCCTACCATTGCCAGCCCCTTTCTTAATGTTTGGGGCAGGCCACCTCACTCCTAACAACAGAAGTGTCCCGTGTCATGAATCTGTAGTAATGAGATCCCTAAAGGCATTAGTGGTACTGATGGTAAAAAGTGACTGACTCGCCGGGCGGTGGTGGCGCACGCCTTTAATCCCAGCACTCGGGAGGCAGAGCCAGGCGGATCTCTGTGAGTTCAAGGCTGGCCTGGACTACCAAGTGAGTTCCAGGAAAGGCGCAAAGCTACACAGAGAAA